TATAAATATTCATTGAGTTTCTCATTATTTCTCATGAAATGACAAATATATTATATATTATGATATTTTCTTTTACTATATGTGGTTGTCTCTTCTTAGAAAGAAATGAGATATCTTGTTGCGACGATCCGGTTTTACTCCTGGCCTAGTGGGATGATACTATGATGAAATCTCGTGACTTAATAATTTATGAATTATTTAATTAGAACATATATAATTTATAATATTCAATAAATGAATTAAAGATAAGATTTGAAAAGAAGATTTCTTCCATAAGTAAGAAGAACGAAGAATGTGTATGTTAAGCGTAGGGTCAACAATTACCTACCTACTCAACAGAGTAATTTCATACTGATCCCATTTTAAAAATGTGTTATATGATTAGACAAGGTATTTATTATTCTTCTTTAACTTTCTACAAACATTTCTAAAATCCTTGGAAGATCTTGGCATAACCCAAAATATTATACTTTTTATAAACTTTTTATTATTGAAAGCTTATTGGTTTACAAACTATTCAATATAGTTAAAATTGTAAAACCAAAACATATAATCCGATGTTTCACAGATTGTTTGTACACTTCTTGAGGTGCAAATTGGCATTGACTATTGTTTGTGAAAATAAATAACAAAATATTTTTCGGTGTTTGCACATTTATTTAAATATTTTATGTATGAAAAAATGTTATTACTCACAGTGTGGTATTTTCTGACCCATTAAGATATTCAAAAGAACTTTTTAAAATGGGCTTTTTTTCGAATCTTTTTTTAGCCCAATTGTTTTACCGGAACCTTTCGAAATTTGAGCCGAAACATGTTCAACTATTCAATTTTTTTGAATAGAGGGATTAAATTGGGTGTACTGTGTAATTTCACTATATTACTAAGATTACAAAGTTTCGTGAGATTCCACCCACTGCAACACGTACCCGCAATATAAAATGTTCATAAAATAATTTTTATTTTTGCACAAGTTAACGATTCCAACTCTAGTGGCAAACATTAACTGAACTAATCATGAGAAACAGCCTGATTCAATATATAAAAGTTATAATACATTGAAACTATAGGTAACAGTTTCCATAATATTCCCGGAACGCCTAATTAAACGAAATAATATTTCATCAACAATGCCATACAATTTGTTAAGATTGTTTTGTTACGTATTCAAAAGCGATATCACAATATCAATTGCCACTTTCAATTTCTTATTAAAAAACAGTGCGATTTGAAACATCAATTAATCATTTAGAAAGAAAGACACTTATCTGACGTATAGGATAATATATCGGAAACTTAATGGGATACGAATAAGGGTCTTAATCAGCATACTAAGCGAGCACATTGTCGTAGTTTGCGGTTTATGTAACCAACCACTGAGTATATGGTAGACAGATTCTTAATCTGAAAATTTTCTCTTATGAATATTATAAAATAAACTCTAATCACAAGTGTGGGTAATTTCTTAGGCAATTATATCTAGTACCCTGCGCTTTATTGCCACTTTGAAGTAGTTCTATAATTAACTAAACTTAATGTTCCATTTTAAGTAGTTGTAGCATAATGGACCGTAAAGTTTGATTGACTAATTAGACTGGCTGCCACTGTAACCGAATCGAACCTTAAAAATACTCAATGTATAGAAAAAAATTAGTTTCTGGAAGTTCTCTCTTATGAATATTATAAAATTAACTCTAACCAGATGCGGGGTTAACTTCTTAGGCAATTATATCCTTAGTACCATGCGATTTCAAAATAGTTTTATAATTAATTAAACTTAAGGTTCCATGTTAAGTAGTGGTACCACAATGGATCGTAAAGTTTGATTGGTTAATTGGACTAACTGTTGCATACTTTCAAATTTGTTATAAAATCATTTTTCAATATATGATTTTCAAAACTCATCGTAGTAGACTACTAAGCTTCAAAGGTTTATAACTCGGAGTGAAGGTCCCACACAACACTATCATTGCAACATTTGTAATTAGGAGACTTATAATATATACGAATATGTAAATCTATGCCAAATACGCACAAAATATGAAAAGAAATGTTTTGAGATGTGGATTTCTTATGAATTATCACATAATATAAATAGAGTATTTTACCAAACATCTTATATTGAATCTAAATTTTTTTATATATTGTATTTAAACGTAACTAATTTCCAATTATTGTATTCAAACACAATGTAGTGAACAAGATCTTATTTAAAATATTTATCTTCAATAACTTTGACTTTTATTTTACTAGCAATAAATGCTGAATTTTATTAAATCGTTAATTTTAAACTTGTTAGCTTTTTATGTAAAACACAATAATTAATTTCCTACAATCAATTTGTAAAATGTGCCAAAAAGCTACTACCTAAGCTCACTTTATGTCGTTTTAATAGTTTCTTTTTTGATGAATAACATCACAGTACTAAAATCAGTGAAGTATTTCATTAAATCGTTAAAATTTTATGTTTTTTTATATACAACATAGATTTCAAATAACAAAGCTATGTCTTTCATTCAAGAAAAATAAAACTCAGTGTCACTACTCATTCGTACGAGTATCTGTATATGTGGAGCAATCATCTTCAATTTCAATATTTACTAGAAATTGAAAGAAAATAAAGCTTGAAATCAATCCAATATTGAGTATAAAAATTTTGCATTTACAGCTAAATTGACAGTTCATTCACCTTAAAGTATTTACTTTTTCTGTTATTTGTTTATACATATTTTGTAACATAATATGTATATATATACAGATATATATATATATATATATATATATATCAGTTTATGAGTGCATAAATTTAAAAGATTTAGTTTCATGCCTCATGTGTAGTTATTACTTTTCCTTTCAAACCATCTTAAAATCTTGTTAGTACAAACGAGCTGATTTATTAAGTATGTTGACCTACAATAATTGTTTTCTTTTAAATGTATTTTCGGTAAATTTTGTGCTGGAGGGCAGTGAATTATTGAATTTTAGCAAAAAAATATTAAATGAAAGAAATTTAATAACTGTTTGCTTTCGTCTTGAATTTTGACACGTTATTCTCGGTGATAAATGCGTTTATAGCAATCATTAGATGAGTTATTATTAATGATGCTACTCGTACTCGTAAAAAATATATTCAGAAAAAATGGGAAATGAATAAATTGGGTAAATAAAATGTATTAAAACTTCCACAGAATAATCAACTAAATTAAAGTATAATAATAGATTTATAATAATATGTAATATAAAACATAAATTTAAATTTTTAGTGATAACTTTTTAATTTTGACGAATCGAGCTGCATACAACCTTTGAATAAATTTTTAAACAATTTAAATTTATCCTTATACAGTATAAAAATTAAAAATTCAAACTTCAAGATACTATGTAATGTTCCATAAAGCAACAATTTAATTTCACTTTTTTTTTGCTCCCACATTTATGCACGTTTTTACATTTTACTTGTCAAATTTTTCTTATTAGTCTTCTCTTAGTCTAATCACAAAAGATTTTTAACTATTTCTATCACGAGCTATAGTTCTTAGTTCATTGAAAGATTTGCCTGATTCCTTCTCAATGTAGTCTTTGGTGGACCGCGATTTCTTCTTCCTTGTCGATTTCATTCAAGAGCGGCATAAGCAATTTCGCTTAAGATTTTGCGTGGAGTGTGGCCCAACCACCCACACCATCTTTTTAAAATTTGGTTATCAGTTGGCTTTTGTTCTGTTACAGCCCACAGTCACTTGTCGCTGATCGTTCTAGGTCAGAATATTCTTAAAATTTGTCTCAAACATAAATTAGAATTTTTTGATTCCATATACTCTTTGAATATAAAAATTACAAAATATTTGGTAAACTTATCATTTCCAATATTGTCCCACTTTAAACAAATTTTGGATCTAATATAGTAGCGTCTTAAACTTATTATTCTATAAGTTTATATACTTATTATAAATTCTAAATTAATTATCTAAAGGGTATTTATATTTCAGCCATTATAAAATATCTAATATATTCACAGTGCATAATGACTATTGGATGTCTTTTACAATGTCTAAGCTTACTTTTGCGCGTTTTTCAATACATTCTTAGTTAAACTTAATTTTCTCATTATCATTGCATACTAAACTAAGATCTTAAAATAACCCTATAATAATTTGAATCTTTGGTTTTAATTCTACGACTCAACTCAACTCTTACGAAGAGAATCGAAAGCTTTCTGATGGACATTTTATTACCAATATGGTCACTTTAAATTGAAATTAAAATCTTTAGTAAGCTATTAATCTACTATTCAAATATGACTGAAGTTTCTCAGAAGTATTACAAATTCAGTCATAACAGTCTTTTAAGGACCAAATCATCATAGTCTACTATTATTGTATATTTTTTTGTTTGATTTTTCCATTTTCCATTTCAACCATTCATGTTCAACTACTGATTTAAGAATTATTGTCGTTCTGGGGTTGTATCCCGATAATTAATTGACATTATCTTTACGAAATATGTTTGTATTTTAAAATAAAATTTACAACAAAATTATGTGGTTGTTGTAAATATTAAAAGCTGTAAATATTTATTGAAACTGTGTACTATAATTCAGTAGATAGAAATTTTTAAACAAATTAATTAAATAGAATAATAAATAGGAAGGCTGTGAGATAAGCTCATCAGCTTAATATAGCTTATTACAATATATATAATTAAAATAATCTTACATAAGTTGACTTTTTAACGTAATAAAAAATGAAACTTTTAATTATATATAAAAATATTATTTCATTATAAATACATGGTTATAAATTATATTCTTCCTTCATTTAGAAAGATACATAGATTGAAAAACTATTGCGTCAAATAAATTCAATTTTTAACTATAAAAAATTTTATATGTAATATATATAAATAAAAAACTTGAAAATGTTTATTATAAGATATGATTGAAATTGAAATGAATTTGTATCTTTTTTGTTATATTTTTAAATTGTTTTAATTTACTCTTTTAGTTGTCATCATGTGCGCAGATCCACAATCAATACGTCAAATCATGTTGACAGCTGAGGAGTTGAAAATGATCGATAGTGGCGAATATGTATTTATAAATATAGAATTGTTTTCACGGTAAGTACTTTGGAAAATCACATTACGTGCATGCTTAAATGTATAATATAATAATGAATCAAATAAAAAATACGACAAAAAAAAGTATTTTTTTAACAAAATTATGGATTGAATTGACAAAAAGTATTTCAATAAAACAAATTTCTGGGAGATGGAAGAATAATTTAATTTGAATTATTGTGTATATATCGTAAATTACATATTTAGAAATAATACTTTGAAACTTTGATTTAAAAATAAACTATAGCATCAAAATATTATCAATGTTCTAGTTGTCACCGCAGTTATCTATGACCCTGTAGTCCTCTTATCCAAGTGTTCCATATATTTCGTGATATTTCGTGACAATATGTTCCATATATTACATTGACAGCTCAATTTGCCCTTATCAGGTAAAAATATCATTACAATATTGTTTTAATTTGGTTTGATGATTGGTTTCCTATTCAAAATTTAGTCGTATTTATTGATAATACTTTACCGAGAATTTTAATAACTTTTACTGTTTAGTTACAATCTCATCAATTTGCTATGATATACATATCAATATAACAGTCTGACTTGTACATATATATATCTATATTAAAATTTCTAGAGAGTATTATTGTATTGTTTATATACGTTTTTCTTTACTGAAATGATTTTTTATTTTAATGAATATTAAAAAATTTAATGAATACTAAAATACAGTCATCTAACAAAGCAACTTATATTTAATATAAATAATAACTTTATTGCTTGTATGACAAAATATGAATTTAAAATATTTTTACAAATTCTACAATTAACATTTTTTAAAAATTATAAAAAAAAATTTATAAAAAAAATTTATAAAAAAAATTTAATAAAAATATTTTAGTATCTATTTTTAGTTATTCACAACCAGCAAACTATATACATTTATAATATATACATATACATTTGTACATTATATATATAAATCATTAGTTTGCTATTTTTAATGGTACGCGTGTTTGTTTTAATATTTTTTTTAAACATTCATAGAGGCTTGCGGTCACACTGTGCAACACCTAAATTGTAATTAAGTACGCCATAATTGTGCTTAATTAAACAACTCATGAGCAGCAATAAATCGTATTTGTTGGATTGTTAGATTGTTGGATTGTTTTCAAAACAAATGCGAACATATGTAAGCGATTATTATGAGCATGCATGGCATTCTTTCAGCTTGGGCGTTCCGAGCGTGTTTCGACTGAGCCCAAGTAGGCAACCAATTTAATATAAAAAATACTCGTAGAGTATTCTTTATACCATTATATGAGTAATTATTAATATAAGAATAACTTCTTTCATATGATTCTATTGATTAATCTTAGTCATATTTTACAAATTGCGTTACAGAAAAATAGCACAAAAAATATATAGCACATATGTACATATAGTATGTAGGTATATGACATATTCAAATATTTATGATTCATATAAACAGCAAAAGTATCATAGTAAACTATTTCGCTCTTATTTTATAGGACTTATCAAGACTGTTTAATATATTTTTTCTTAGGGTTTTAAAAATCACACATACTCTCTCTCCATATCATACAAAAGGGGTGTTTGGAAAAAGTGATCTGCTTACCTTTTCTGGTCGACTCTTCAATATTTATTCCTTTCCACGGTGAACTCCAGTATTATTTAGGTTTTAGTTATTTTTTACTCTTATGCTGTTGTTGTAAACTTTGTTGTAGACTGCGAGATTTATTGGTCAACGTTGTATATAATTTATGAATTCAATCTATTCATGTCTATTTTGAATTTTACCGCTTTAACAAACAAACAGCCCCCTTTGGATATACCTACAAAATTAATAAACATTATATCAACATATTATTTGATATTTAATCTTTGCTAATTATTTGTCAAATTTTTATTATCAATTCAACAAATTTCTAATTTATTTCCTTTTGACTAGGCTATCTACTGGGATTGTGTCAAAGAGATATAGTAGAAAGTATATCTTGAAGTTCATAGGTTGACCCTAGCAATGATCATATACAAATAAAGTTTTAATTTTACAGTATTATTAAAACACAATAAAATATCAGCCATATTTAAGATAATCATATATTATCATTATCATATGTGTGGACTTAAATGTATTCAGACTTTATAACATACATAGTACACCTATATAATATAAACAAAATACGACATACACAGCATCTTGTTCAAATGTATTAACTGAATAAAAATATTTAAGTAAATGTAGTATGCGGTTTATCATACGCAAAGGACGCCTATTGATGACACACAATTATATCTTTCTAGTCCGGTATTTATTTTCTCCAATTGCTTGTTATTCTGTATATAGGTCATTCTTTTACAAACCGGACGAATTTTAACAAAAAATGACCTCATGAACTCCAATTTGGCTAAAAATTTTTTTATGAGCTCTTTTCATAAAATTAAAAGGCCCGTAACTCTAAAAAAAATTTTGTAATTTTTTCCCTAGAAGATATGGATCCATGGGATTCTGAAAATTGGCATTGTAGACACATTTTCAAATGGCTATATCTCAAGCTCTAAAAATGGTAAAAATTTGAAATTTACTGCGTTTTAAAAACAATTGATTGAACTTTCAAGAAATTGTATAAACAATTAAGAGTGTTTATATTAAAGTACTAATATTAACCGTTAAATGCAAAAAAAAAAAATTTTTCGAAACAAGTCCCCAGAATTTTCATTTTTTATATATTATTTAGATTCAGTTTTAAATAAAAATTTTGAGAAATAAAAATTTTCAGGATAGCATTATATTTTGAAATTTTTAAAAATATTTTTTTTTTTGGTAAAAACTATCAAGCACATCTGTACTATATTTCCATTGAATGAATTTTCAAAGAATATACTACAAATATATAGTAGTATATTCTTATATAATATTCTTATATAATATTATATAATATATATTCTTATATTCTTATAAGAATATATATATTCTTATATTCTTATATAATATTTCTGATTTCGATTAGTAATAAAATTCTACATAAAACCCAAAACTTTCAGGACGATATTGTCCTTTGAAATACTTCTAAAAAATTAATTTATTCTTCACATCACATTAAACACATACACACGATTTTTCAATAAAAAAATGAGGAATATGTTTTTTATTTTAATTCGAGTATTTTGCTTTTAGAAGTAATTAAAAAAAATTAATTTATCAGGTGTCCTTCACATAATACCATAAAATCAATTTTTCAAGAAAAACGACACAGAGACGACTTATTTTTATTTGATTTCATGTGATAATATTTTTTACTTTCGTTTTTTATTAGTATTTTTTTTTGTTATAATAAAGCAAAAATTAAATATTTAGTGAATACCAAATTTAATATATGATGCCACATATATTAATAATGTATATAATAATGTATATATTATTGATTTTTTAGAGCTGTGAAACAGTTTATATAGATGCTTTCTACCACAGCCCTCAGCTACCACCACGTGTACCCTAGGGCGGAAATTGAAGCTTTGCAAACGAAAAGAAAATCCAACGTGTCAGTTTGATAGAATTCGTTAATAGACCGATATTATTCATTGCCTAACTGTAGCGTTGAAGTTAGGCAAAACTGTCGCTTTATACGATAATGTAACACATTAATATCATGAATATTAATTAATTAATATTTAATAATTCTTATCACATAATCTTCATTATATCTAAATAGTATTTTTTTTGCCAATTTGTGTGAAATAAATTCTGGATGTAGTACATCCACAACGAAAACAATTATCATCGTTTGAATTTTACAGCGATTTTAGGTTGTTTTCCCGGATCTGATTTCCGTCCTCCATTGTAATAATTGTTAATTTGTTTCAACGTTAACTCTGTGAACTTAATAATAATATGTTCAATAAATGCGAAAGCAGAATTGATACTATTATCCAGCTTATTTAAGGTGTGTGGAGACGCTGATGTGAGGAATAATTCAGCACTTTTAGATGAAGATATACGACGGCGTGTATTCATTTCTAAATACTCATTTCTAAATGACGAGTTAAAAATCGCACAATAATACATACAATAATACCCACTTCCCCCAGTGAGACACAGGTCCTCAATAATTCTTCTAATTCTGTCTCTATTTGGTGCTTCTCTATATATGTCGTGCATTATATATCATGCTTCGTCTGATTCACTTTTGACCGTCCTTCTCCATGTTTTCGTTGGCGTACCAGGTCTTCTGCTATCTTGTGAATTTTATACCAATGCTTACCTCGCTATATAATTTCTCGGTTGTGTAAGCATATAGCCTATCCACTTCCACTTTCTCATTGTTATCTCAATTTATGCTGCTTTTTGAGTCGTTTGGTTCAGCAGGCGTTCATTTTTTTTTCGATCTGGCCATTAGATTTTGCGAATTGTACATAGACACGTGTTGACAAAAACTTCCACCTCTCTCTCTACATGTCTGAAGTGCTTTCATGTTTCGCAACCGTAGCTCAAAATAGGTTTCACATTTATGTTAAAGTTTTGTAGTTTAGTCTGCCTTCTGAGTTCACTGGATCGCCATATGTTGTTAAATTTTCCAAACACGGCTCTCGCTTGGTTGATGCTAGCACTTCAATAGCTAGACTTTTATTTGTCACAATGCTTCCCAAATAGGTAAAAAAGTTTACGGATTCAATTTCTTCTCCACCATTTGCATGCAACCTAACATTTTGGTCTGCACATTATCCGCTTGACATGCTTTTTGTTTTTTCAGTACTTAACCTGAAAAGGACAGACTTCTGCTTGTTCACTTATGACGGATATTATTTGCTGTAATTCATCAAGTCTGTGACTTAACAGCAGGATATAATGAACGAATTCTAGATCTTGTAGACACTCAAACAATTCCCATCGGATACCCCCGATTTTTTTAATGCTCTACTGAGAGTATCATCTATCGTCTATCGATAGATCTATCAACATCATCTTAAAACCGTGCAATACGGAACAGCAAATCAATCATTTCAGTGAAAATATAACAAAGAATCTAATTTAATGCTTATGTTATTTAAAGCGACTCTGAACTGTACTTTATTTTTAACTCAAAAACGTATTTTCCACCACTTTTTTTAATTCTTACAAATTTTAATAATAGAATCTTAAGCACCAACACGATTGTCTATTAAAATCCATGTGCAAACATCTGTGGATCAACTTCTCATGTTTAGTTTTTTAAGCCTAGAGGGGCTTTTATTGTTTGTTTAGTAATTACACTTTAATTATACCCATAATTATAATTTAACAATTAATATTGTGCTACAAAACTTTTGCTTATAATTAATTATAGTTTTTTACTATAATTTAATAATAAATATTCTTGATTTTTTGTACTATTTTTAACTATAAATATTGATGGTAAATTGGAGTATGTTTTATATCTTAAAAGCAATGTTTTTTTTTGTTTGATTTTATTGTAGTTACCAAAACAGTATCTGTTATTTATTAGTTTTTTATTTATATACATTTATACATTTTTATTGTATATATTTAGTTGTTTGAAAAAATTGTTAGTAATATTATGTTGTCCTTGAATATATATGATTGAAAGAAATAAAATTTTTACGACCTATTAAAAGTAATGGGAGTTAAGTAAACATAAGTATCATAATTTATTGATTATTATATAATTGTAGAAATAAATGCAAAAAATTCTGCGAATTTTTTAAATTTTCTTAAAATAGATTTAAGAATATCCGATAGGTAAACAATATATAGGAAGCAAAATATAAACAATATCAATAATTGAACATTTTAAGAATTTAAATGTAATTGTTTTATTTCCTATGACTACAAAAAATTTCACTGAAAAATATTTAATAAATGGTTATATTAATTTTTAATATATTTTTAATAATTTTTACTATGATTTGCAAAATAAAAATAAACCTTTAGAGAGTGGAGGCATATATAATAGAAAATTGGTTGCCAATTACTAGAAACGTTTATACCAAATATATATACAAAAGTTAAGTTACATTTTATGTCTGTATTAGATTAAAAAAAACAGATATAAAGATGTTTTTCGAAAAGTAGTGAACTACATCAACATAAATTCATTTTATATTATTTTAATTAATTGAATTTTTGGATGACCGTACAGCTGTTTCGAGTATTGCCAAATACTGACCACCCATCATCAGTGGTCTTGGAAATAATTCTTATATTTAATTATTCGTAAATAATTTTTTGAGACTGCAAGTACCAGAAATCGTAGTCGTGCCCTGCCAAATTTAAAGCTCAGAGTCACCGCTCCTTCACCAACGGATCCAAAGTAGTACATGACTTTTATGATCGCACATTTTTCTGGAGTTGTGTTAATTTGCTGTGAAAGTGTTATTAATAAATTCACTTGCTGTGTTTATATTAGATCGAAATCATAAACCTGCTGTAGAATAATTCAAGTAATTAATTACTTTTTTATTTTTAATTTCTAAAATTTCAATACTATTCTGTTTGTAGAGGCATGAGTTTATTTTATATTTCTGAAAGTTATATATAACATATTTTTGTTTTAGATATATATTAAAAAGAATTTACACTCAAAATAATATTACATATGAATAATAAGAAAAATATGAAAAATGAAGACATTTTTAGGAATTAAACTCTTATGAAAGAATTTTTTTTAAGCTTAAATATTTATGACATATGTAATACAAATTTTAAATAGATTTAGAAAAAATATAAAAAACAAATAACTTAACTGAAACATTAGCATAAATAACGTTTCATTTCTTAAAAATTAAATATCTCTAACAGATAAATTTTCTTAATATGTGTATTAGCATAAATTCCAGCACATCTGCAAGAACAAATTTAACCCTTTTTACACATATTCGCTAATGGCATTTCGCATCCGGTGCAAAAGTGTGAAATTTGTCAAAATACACATTTACATTTTTTACGTGAAGTTCCGTTGGGAATTTCGGAAATTTAGTGAAATATAATAGATCATTTCAGCGGAATGTTTGAAATATTTTTTCAATTTAATGATTTGCAACATATTTGTTTTTTTTATATATGGATATAGAAATTAGAAAGGAAATGGATACAGAAAAAGCTAGCGAACAGAAAAGTTTTAATAATCTTGTTTAAGTTCTATTGTTATAGTTCCAGAACCATAAAACTATCTAAGTACTTATTTTTCCTTAAGAGTTTAAGAAATAAATTTATAGAAAAGATTAAACAAAGCTTTATAATATATAAATTATACATAGTATTAATTATAAGTTGTACCTATATTATTGCAATTCATGTAAAATAAATAATGTCCAACTGTAATTAATTAATATTTTTTGTGCCATAATTATACAGTATTATAGATTAAGATTAAGAAAAAAAAACTATAATTATTTTACATTAGATAGAAGACATTTACATAGACGGTTCCATAATAGACAAATGAGTTGGCTGCGGCATCTTCTCTGAAAGACTGGGTCTTAATTTCTGCACTACATTATGCTGTAAAATGAGTTCTTGTCAAACAACTATCCGATGAAACTATTTCAATCTTCTGAGAAAGCCAAGTTGCCATTAAATCACTTCAGCCACATCAATCATAATTCAAAACTGCCGTGTTTCCCTCAATGGCGTAGCTAAGTGCATGAACGTTGAACTTATTTGGGGTTATGAACAATTACTGGATGGATAAGCTTGCCAATACAGACGCTCTTCTCCCTAACATTCACTTCTTAGATATGGCGTTCCACTTGCAACAGCTAAACTGATAATTAAACAAAAATATCTAAGTATAGCTAATCAACACTGGGCTGATAAATCCAGCTGTCAGATATCTAGATTGACTTGGTCTAATTTGGACTAAAAACGTACCAGTCAGCTACTGCAACTAAAACGGAACCTGCTCAGCACTACGGTATCGGTGCTGACGGGCCACTGCATAATAGGGAGGCATGCTATAAGACTAGGTGTTTCCTATAATAACCTTTGTTACGAATATGATTTTGAGAACGAGGAGTAAACTGCGTTTCATCACATGTGTTACTGCCCATGTCTAGATAAGAAAAAATCAAAACTCTTGTCGCCCACTTTCCTTACTGATCTGACTGAGCTGTTATCTTACAATATTAAAGACAGCCGAATTCATATAATAAGTTTGTTTACCTTTACCTAATGGGGAGTCATTGCCTTTTTCGTTGTTGGTCATATACTGACTTTCCAGTCTATGTACGAACCAACGCTATTCCTGTGATACCATAAACAGCCATTAATTGTACTCACATGGGCTTTTTTGGTACCCAAGGCCGCCACTGTAATCTAACCTAACTTATCTGAAATCATTTCAATGCCATCAAAATAAATATCTTGACACGACTCAGGAGAAGTCGATAACTGATGGGTTCCGCTGATAATGGATAAATTATAAACGGTTTCATTAATGATTGATTCCCTAAAGTGGTCTATAAATTTTTAATTTTTTTATCCGTTTCTTTTTTTAAATGTAAAATTTTATTAAACATAGTCTTTATTTTATACTGTAATGCAGATAGAAAAAGAAAAGTAACTTTATAATAACAATGAACATATTATTTAGTAAATAAATAAAATAAGTGAAAAGAAATATTGCCGCATTGAAGAACGTGCTTATGCGAAAATCAATCTATTTAAATTGAATTGTTTTTATATTTTTCCTACCATAACTTGACTAAATCTGCAGAAAAAATACTTAAAAAAAGTTACGGAAAAGTATGTTTCCTTTAAACTTTAGTATTTAAAAATTTTATGTTATTTAAAATTTTTATTTATATACTTTTTTTATATCATTGCAGTTCACCAAACATAACATCTCAGCCATGGTTTGACAAAAATGATACTGCGGAGAACAATGAACGTGCTCGGAAAGCTTACACAGCCATGTTAACAGTCACACCGAAGCAGCCAAGCGGTAGCGAATACACAAGGGTCTCCGAGGAGGTTAGTATATGTTAATATGAAGTATTAACTCTTTTCAAATACCGAATATGTAATTGTTTGGCATTTCAACATATGGCAACAATGAGAACAATTTCAACGATATTGTGTCGCTGTTTTCCGAATTTAATATACAAGATTTATAGTTCAGTTTTTTGCGGAGATAAGGAAAATAATTTATTTTGCATTATTATTTCTGCATTTTAAAGCAAGAAATGCATTAACCAAAATACAATAAATGCATTACTCTACTACACATACGAATTAAAGACTTTTATTACTACATTTTCAATATTCTTAATGACTAGTGTATCTTTTAAACCTATTAAACCTATATCAGTTGCGGTTCTATTAATGAAAAAAATAAAGTCATAGATAAGATAAATTATTTCAATAATAATAATAACCGTAATATTTATCACTTGTGATGCAATATTAATAATCCCTTTATCTTGCTTATTATTTATATATAAATGTATTCGTTTTATATACACGTATGTTATGAATTTTTATTTATTTTTACTTTTGTAAAATTGTTAATAAAAATGCAATTAACTTATATCTATTTATAAGAAGTGAAAATACACGAATATTTTTTGCTTCACACAATTAATAATTATAGTATTAATACAATTAAAAAATCGTACCTATGTAAATGCGTTTATTTCAATATCAGACAATTAACAATTGATAGAATAGATCTATCTACCAATAGAACACAATTATTGATTATAGTATTAACATAATTAAGAATTCGTACTTATAAATATGCATTTATTTCAATATCGTTCAATGATTAAGTATACTTTGACATTATATATTAACACGTAAGTCCACGGATTAAATTTGACAGAATTGAATTTCTGACAGCAGCTCAAAATTATAATTCTGACAACTTAACCAATAGATCTATCCAAAGACCACAGATCATTGGCGATATTCAAATCAGAGGTATTGTCAGTCTAATAATTTAGTCAATTGAAAATTAAAAAATTGTATATTCACTATTACACTCTTTTTTATTCGAATTGAATTTTTTTCCATTAAAAATAATCCATTATAATATAATCCATTATTTTTTTCCATTATAAATCAAAATATGATGTACTGAAAACATAACACATGGGCCATGTGACTTCAAGTTTAAGTATGGATTTAGAATAGAAGGTTCTAGGCACTCCAGTGTGCCGGCCAGCACTTAAAGGAGAACAGTGAATAAAATTATGCAAATTATTTATGAATCGATGTCTGACAACAGATCAAGTCAACTGTTAGCGAAATTTGTTGTTCTTTGAGTACCTTTTTGAATTTTAAAATTTGATAAAAGTCAAAAAGTTCAGTATCTAAAGATTACAGGAGATGCGGCACCACAGTGGTGTTATATTATAACACGAACTTTTGATTAAAACCATATTTTGGAATCAAATATGGCTTTGAAGATCATGAGCTAATATCTCTACTATATGCTTGAACATATACATGCAGTTTCCTGACTTGCTTAAAAGAAGAGTTTGTATTATAAGAATACATTGCTTGTAAAAAGATTGATTAGTTTTCAAATTCTAGCAGTAACAGATCTTAATTTCGATATCAGTAAATAAATAGGAAATAGTAAATAGTTTTAAAATCCAATCAACAACCATCTTTAGTATCACAAAAATTTACCACGTATTTTGATTAAAGTAACAAATAAAATTTCTACTTTAGTAGTAACTTTAAATTTTAAATAACACTAAAAATAACTAAAAACACTGGAAAAAACGGACACATAATTACACATAATTTGTTTCTCTTCAAAAATTCAATGCCACTACTCTGAGATACAACTCTATTTATTTCACTAATTACCAATTTAGTTATTTGAATTACTTATTACAAAATGTATTTCTTGCAGATAAAATCAATAGCTGCAGCTAAATATAATTATACATTCCATGATAATGAACCGATATCAACATTTGTCACATCATTTTATGATGGTGTCCTTCTCTATGCAAATGCTTTGAATGACAGTATCCGTGAAGATCCTAGCGTACTTACACGCCCCATTAATGGCACGGACATGGTAAGGCGCATGTGGAATCGCAGTTTCAAGGGCATTACTGGCAATGTAACAATTGATGCAAATGGGGATAGAGTGTCAGCATATTCTTTACTAGATATGAATCCAACAACAGGACGTTTCGAAATTGTAGCACATTTTTTACACAATCGTCTAGAGTATGTGCCTGGTAAGCAAATACATTGGGCTGGTGATCGCTTGGAAGCACCACCTGATCGACCAACATGTGGCTATGACGGTGCATTATGCCCAGACAATTGTAAGTTTTTATTGGATTAGTTATTAATTTAAACTTTTTAATTTTAAATAAAATTCAAATCATTTTATTTACTACAGCTCTTCCAGGATATGCAATACTTTCGATTGTACTGGGTGTTGTGGTTGTTATAATGATTATTTGTTTCTTCTTTGGTTATCGTCATTATAAATATGAAGCAGAACTAAACTCAATGTCTTGGAAAGTGTCCATGGATGATATTGTCTATCATGATGCAGCTGGTCGATATTTCCGTGGCTCATTTCACTCATTAGTAAAACAGAATTCCCAATTAACGCTTATGTCTGATGATATGGGCTCATTTAGCGGTGATCGTCAAATTTTTATTCCTGTTGGTGTATTTAAAGGTTGTAAAGTAGCTGTCAAAAAAATCGAGGACACAAATATTAATTTGACACGCTCCCTCATGTTGGAGTTAAAACAAATGAAAGACTTACAACACGATCATTTGGTTAAGTTTTATGGTGCTTGTTTAAATCCATTGCGCAGTTTTTTATTAATGGAATATTGTCCGAAAGGTTCACTACAAGATATACTCGAAAATGAACAATTCCAGCTGGACTGGATGTTCAAATTATCTCTCATGCATGACATTATTCGTGGTATGCATTTTCTTCATAGCTCCGATATTAAATCACACGGCAATCTTAAATCTTCAAACTGTGTTGTGGATTCCAGATTTGTACTAAAAATAACAGATTTTGGCTTACACACATTACGTAAAAATATGCAAGACGTGGAAAGTGAAGTTGAAAAATGCAACAGTCATGCATACTGGAGCAGTAAGTATTACTTGTATAACTAATTATTATGGATATAGTATATAAAATATGCTATTAGTACGATCCTTTATTGGGTTTTATTTTTTATTAAATATTTTTATTAAAAGAAGTATCTATATTAGAGATTTTTTATAAATTTTTTTCTATTTATTAATATTTGTTGCTTTTTATTACTATCCTATATTTAAAATATATTACATATATAATTTGTTTTAATGGTAATGATAATAATTATAATGGTAATAATTGTTTTTATTTTAATTTTAATTTAATTAATGCTTTTTACTACTATCCTATATTTAAAATTTATAAAATATATAATAAATAAAAATAAATATAAATTAATTAATCTATATTTTATATATAGAATTATCTTTCCAAAAAAAAAGAATGACTCATTTGTTTAGTTTTCCCTTTTTTTATTTTTTTAAATAATGTTAATTTATTTATATTGCTTATATATATGTCGTTGTTACTCTCATTGTTATAGCCCTTTTATTTTCCAAGTAATTTTCCGTACTGTACAAGTACTATTTTCCTTTTCCTTAGCTATATTCTCTCATTTTATTTAAAAGTTCATATTTTTTGCAACTCATTAATGATATGTTTATTTATAATTATTTATTGCGTTATAATTTTTTTTTCATGTTTCTACTTATATATTCTATAAACATACATATATATTCTATAAATATTCTATTCTATGTAATTCTTTATATAATTTTTAATTTGTTCAATTTATTTTTTATTTATTAAAAATTTAATTAAAATTTTTAAAATTTATTTTTTTATAATTTTCTTCTTTTATTATTTTATTTTTAAATCCTAATATGTATATTTTTTGACTTTTTTTATTATTAATTGTTATTATTATTATTAAAAAATATAATATTTTTAATCTTAATGTGTTTCTTTTTTGTAATATATATTAACATTATTTACTTCACCCTTTTCGGTTAATTTAATTTTTAATAAATTTTTAAATTTAAGTTTAAATTTTCATTTTTTATGTAATATTTATTATATATGTAGGGTATGTTTATGCAGCATAACCGTGTACCAACACAAGAGAGCAGAGCAACATAATTCTTTTGCCGCGACTACAAAAAGAGTTAGTCGCTTTGTAGTGCTCAGCAAGAACGGTCAAGTGATGCGGAACAGTTTTATCAAATATCCATTATAAACTTAGTTTAAATTTAAAAAAATGAATAAACTAAATTTCAATTTAATAAAATCCCACATATACATCAAAATATATTTCGAATACAAAACCAAAACCAGTAAAAGAAAACAACAATTTTAAATCTTATTTTAAACATATTTTCTAACTTATAAATAAATATATATTTATATTAAATTTTATTATCACATTTTATTTTTAACATTTTTCATTTATTTTCATATTCATTTTTGTTATTATATAATTTCACATATTAATTTTATTTTATTTTTGATTTTATTTATTGTTATATTTTATTTTCTACATTTAATTTTAAATTATTCCTTTTTAACTTAACAAATGGTGTGGTGAGGAAGAGTCTATGGAACATCTGATCACCAAGTGTGTTTTCGAAGACCTTCGAAAACTCCCCCCGAAGGATTCGGTTTGATTCCTCGAGTTACTAAATATCTAAATACAAAAGGGTGCACAATAGATCAAACTGGTCGCAGTGCATAGGAGCCTTAGCGTAACCCGAACACCCTAAACGCCATTACCAACTTAACAAATACATATAATTTAATATATTTAATTTTTTATTTAATTATCTTTGATATTATTTTTATCTTTGATAGTATTCATATACTACTTAATATATATTAAGTTATTTATTTTTTATTATTATTTATTATATATATTTTTATATTTATTATTTTTTATTTTTTTAATTATTTTCTGTTTGTTGTTCCTATTTCCTTTATATGCTTTTTTATTATTTCTTATAATTGTTTAATTTATAATTGTTATTTTTAAATTTTTAAAAATAATTTTATATGGTATTTATATTATTTCAATTTATATTTTTTATTTTGTTATTTTGATTTTACTCTTTTGTTAGAATATTTTCTATTTTGGTTTGAATTCGAATGAATTTATTTTTGTGGTTTCAATTGTATAATTTTATTTTAATAATTTAATTGTATTTATATTTTATCTACAATTCATTTGTAGTTTGTAGATTTATTTTGTAAAACAAAATTACACATTTTGTTATTTTTTATACCTTTTATTTTAAATGTAATATCAAGTATTTTTGATTATTATATAAAATACTCTTTGTAATATCCTCTTTTTTTTAGGTTGAAATTCTATATTACATTCTTTACATTATTATTATCTTCCAAAATAAAATGTTATTGTTTTGTTCTAATTCTTATAATCATTTTGTTTATTTTTTTTCTTTCAGAATTATTATGGACTGCACCTGAATTACTTAGAATGGAAAACAATCGTCCACCGGAAGGCACACAAAAAGCAGATGTGTACTCTTTTGGCATAATTGTACATGAGATTACAACACGACAAGGACCGTTTTATTTGGGTGAGACTGAAGACGAAAAATCTCCACAAGGTAATCATAACTAAACAAAAACAAAACTTTAATGTCATTTTGTCAAAAAATGTCATTTAAAAGATAAAAATTAAATAATATATACCATGTTTTAATATTTCCTGCAAAAGTATGAATCTCTTACAACAAAAAAATACTCTTTAATAAATGTTTAATATTACTAAAGTTTAACAAAAGTCTTATTAAAATATAATTGACGTTTTTAACTTTTAAAAAAAAAATTTAAATATTGTCCTAAATATTGTTCAGTTCCATTCCTTTCTATTCAAATTAAAAATATCTTTAAAAAATGGAAAACAACAGTTTTCGATTAAATTTTCTTCATCATCGTACCAATTGTGGATTTCCTTTCTTGGTAATTTCTGCTTTAGTTCCAATTTTCTGAGCCAACCAAGTCGGGATTGTTCCAAGTCTTGTTTCTTTAATAAAATAATTCTTGCGTTGCCAAAAATTATATCACAATCAGTCGGTTTCGTCTGTAAATTCACTATAAATAAAAAAAATTAATTAGAAACTTTTTATACTATGACAGGAAATTTATCTTTGAATTGAAAAGAAAGTAAAGCTTTTGGATTAAAAAGTGAATATTTGAATTTAAAAATTTCCTTATCAAACATAATCAATCGATTTCAACAGAAAAATATTCTAATTTTTAATTATTATATACATATATTCTTCATATCTTTGCGCCACTGATACGGCTATAAGCATCATAATGCAAAGCTCTTTAAACAGACTTGGAGTAAGCAATCCATGCAAAGCAAGTTTTCAAAAATATACGATTCCTGGTACTTGCAGTCTCAAAAATTATTTACGAATAATTAAATATAAGATTTATTTCCAAAACCACTGATGATAGGTGGTCAGTATTTGGCAATACTCGAAACAGCTGCATGGTTAACCAAAAATTCAATTATTTAAAATAATATAAAATGAATATTTGTTGTTGTAGTTCACTACTGTCCGAAAAACCTCTTGTTAAATTCAGTAAATTTTATAAAAATTACACTTTTCACGGGTTCAATCGTTGATACTTCCGTCCTCAAAAAACTATTTACGAATAAGTAAATATAAAAAATAATAATAAAATATTATTGCTGTGATTTAATATCTTTTATCAAAATATCTGCACACACTCTCTTTAAAATTTCTTCTTTTAAAAGTTGCCTACGTTAGTGGCAAAGATACAAACTACCACCACAAACCAAATTCATGATTCAACAAAAGGAATGAATATTCAAAATTATTGATAAAATTCAAACTTACTGCTTTTCTTCAACTTCTTGTAGTCCAAACTAAGTTGTGGTCGAATGCCATCTACTTTATTTTTCAAACTGTACTCATAACTGATGCCATCCAGAATGTACGAGTTTTGATAAATTAATTCTGCGCTTGGAGTGGCTTTCACTATTGGCAAAACCTCAAACAATGGTAAGGTATGCGGAATATCAAATCCTTTGGATTTCAATAATTTCGCAAACATAGATGCGTCAGTGGCGGTTTGTTTATAACTGACTTCACTTCGTAACTTTTCTTGAATATCGCTGAAAGTTTGTTGCGAACTAACATCACTCCCTTTAGGTGACAGAAGTACTTCCAAGTCACTGGAAGAATACTCATATCTTCTATATTGATGCTTTCTTGATTTAAGTTGTTTCGAACCCTTTTTCGATTTTAATTTTTTTTGCTGTGGAAAATTATACGCTTCCAATTTCTCCAGTTGTTCCCTTTGCTCTTGATTTTTGAGTTTCTGTCGTTGTGCCTTCAAGTAAATGGAAGGCCCAGCATCAAAATGACTGCCACCAAGATCGAAATTCTTCAAGTCAAGGAAACTATTTGAATGGAATAAGCTTTTACGTCTTGTTGATAAGTGATTTGATCTCAGTTCTTCAGTTGAGCAGAGCGGTGATGAATATTTATGTTCATTTGTGGAATTATTATCATATTCACTCTTTTTAGACTTTGCACGCTTCTGTTTAATACTTTTAATACCATCCTCATTGTGTATATCTGATGGATACAAATCTTTAGGATAAACATATTTATTATTTATCCGAAAACGCTTAACTCTATCTTGATCTTTTTGAGCCATTTTTTCAAAATTAATATTAAATATCAGATTTTTAGGGGAGTATAGAAATTAATTAAAAATATATTTCAACGCTTTGTTTTTGTTTGTTTATAAAATTATAAACATTTTTTTAAAACATGTTTTGTGAAGTTCTTATATTCGTAATGGAGTTTAAATCATGGCATGTTATTTGTTAAAATATATATTTTGATAGTTTAAAATATTGATAGTAATTGCTTGTAAAAACTAATAGAACTTTAAACTAATAAATAAGGGCCATAATATGGATATAACACAAATTGCGAAGTTAAAGAAAATTCCTCAATGGTATCACAACCTGTTCCAGGCCTATCTAAGTACCGATAAGTACGTATATTCGGGACTGTAATATTAATAAAAGTTACAGTAATAATATAATATAATAATTAATTGACTTAATTATTACATTCGTTAGCTGATAACTTACCTACGACTTCTGTTACCTTCACTGACTCATAAATTTTTTGGTATGTTGCGTAGTTTTCAACTTGATATTTAGTCTTTGGAGTATTAATTTCAATATTATAATAACAAAAAAATGTACATTTTCTTTGGATTAAAATTGGGGCTAGTAAAAAACAAACGCTGTTTCTTGGATTTTGAAAGTGTTGTTACCCATATATAATTGTGTCAAATAAACATGTCACTACGAAAGGCGATGAAATTTTGCAACTGGTGGAGCAAGATTGATACGCAAACTATCAGAAGATAGTGGAGGCATTTAACATTAACAACATAACAATTTCAAATCATGTTAACAGAGCAAACTACATGATGACCTTCCATGGTTAGTACCGCATGAGTTATTTCAAAAAAAGTTGATTGATCGAATTATGATCAGTGAAACAGTGCTCTAACGCAATAAAATCGAACTATCTAGAACCTACTTATTATGGGCGATGAAAAATGAATTACATATGACAATATTCAACACAGGTAATTATGGTTAAAAGGATGAGATCCTCCACAAACGACTAGAAAGCCCACATTATCGACAAACAAACTTGTGTGAAGTGTTTACGGGCATTGGAAGGGAGTTGCTTAGTTTTAATTTATTTTTTTCAAATTATTATTTTCGTTTTTTTATTACAAAATGTCGTTGTTATTAAATTTGTTACAAATTTAATTATGCTCCAGCCTGGTGCAACATTTATATGGTCTTCTACTGCCCACACCCCGACTGCTGGAATGAAACAACAACGGAAAAGCAAATAGTACTAGTACACATATTTTATGACTCGGAACAAATTCGTTCAAAACTTGGTTCGGAAGTTTTGATAAACCAGTCTCTGCAAAAGTTTCTTAATAGTAAAAAAAAATCAATTATATTGACATCCATTGAATTGTTGTTTTTGCCATTGAAAGGTAAGAATTGTGAATTATGTCTCGTACAAAAAACTTAGACCTATCTCAGTCATCATTGACTCCGATCTATATAGTGTGACACACGGATTAGTATCTATGTATGTTTGTGGTACTGTACTTCTATGATACTGTTTCACGCATAATAAAATCTTATTTTTTATATACGACTATACCGTAAATTATTTTAATGGAGTTGACAGTGGTGACTTCAATCGAGTATCCAAAACGATTGGTATCAATTGTGTCAACAACAGAAAATCAGTAATTTGTTATTATTTTAATCCTGATTTCCAGTTCCTATACGTTCTTTTAAAAATTATCTTTTATTTTATTACATTATTATTTAAGAATAAAAATACATATATTTTTTATAATTTCTTATATTTAAATGTACTTATAAATCTATATATACATAGAATACTTTTAATATTTGAAGTCATTCAACTGTTTTAACTGTATTATATTAAAATTATATTATTTTTTTCTACTTGCAGATATTGTAGAATTAGTTAAGGGCTATCCAATACTGACTTTACAACCATTTCGTCCCTATATTGATGAATGTGATAATTATTTAGATATTAATGGCATTATGACAAAGTGCTGGTCAGAAGATCCCATTGAAAGACCAGACTTCAATGCACTCAAAACTATAGTTAGAAAAATAAACAAGTAAGTATAAACGTTTTTTATATTAGTAGAAATATATACAGAAAAATATAGAAATATCTAGAAAGATAGTTATTGTTCATTTTTCTATGTAATTATAGAAATATAAATGCCTTTGTAGTATTATTTTATAGTCCGATATTACTTGGTCAGTAATTCCTTTGCCAACTAAAACCTATTTGACTAAATGAGAATGATCTATAAAAACTCAATGCCGGAGTTCAATAAAGCTGTACATCAAGGAGATATTTATCACTAACATTTATTATCCTAGAACAATAGTTTTATCGTATTAATTATAAAATGGATATACTATTACATAATCTTATAGCAGTTAGTTTTCAAAAGATAATTATTTTACATCTTTTTTTTTATTGTAAGTAATAGTAGCAAATTAGAAATTTGATATTCACAACTTCTAGATTTGACATTCAGTATCTGTTATATGTATTATTTATATTTATTAATTACTTACTTACTTACTTACTTACTTACTTACTTACTTACTTACTTACTTACTTACTTACTTACTTACTTACTTACTTACTTACTTACTTAGTTACTTACTTACTTACTTACTTACTTACTTACTTACTTACTTACTTACTTACTTACTTACTTACTTACTTACTTACTTACTTACTTACTTACTTACTTACTTACTTACTTACTTACTTACTTACTTACTTACTTACTTACTTACTTACTTACTTACTTACTTACTTACTTACTTACTTACTTACTTACTTACTTACTTATTACTTACTTACTTACTTACTTACTTACTTACTTACTTATTACTTATTACTTACTTACTTATTACTTACTACTTACTTACTTACTTACTTACTTACTTACTTACTTACTTACTTACTTACTTACTTACTTACTTACTTACTTACTTACTTACTTACTTACTTACTTACTTACTTAGTTACTTACTTACTTACTTACTTACTTACTTACTTACTTACTTACTTATATGTCTCCAAACACCTCTGCTACGACCGCGCCTTCTTCAGTTTCGTACATCGAGTCCGTTTAGTGCTCCCTCATTTTAATCACTTCACCGGAGACACAGTCAATCTCCACGCCTTCTTTTTCCAACTACTGCTTCAAATATCTTTTTCGCTGGAGCATCTTCCCCCTTATTTAATTATATTATAGTTACATTATATATGTAGAAATATATATATACAATCATTTCTCAAGCTTTAACAGATATTGTAATACATCAATTTTTTTTCCTTATGTTTGCAGGGATAATGAAACTGGTAATATCGTAGACAATTTGCTAAAACGTATGGAGCAATATGCAAATAATCTTGAAGAATTAGTAGAGGAACGCACACAGGATTATTTAGAGCAAAAGAAAAAATGTGAACAGCTACTTTATCAACTTTTGCCGCAGAGTGTGGCAGCCCAATTAATAAGTGGTCAGCCGGTTGTAGCTGAAACCTTTGACCAGGTTACAATATATTTCAGTGATATCGTTGGTTTCACAGCTATATCAGCGGAAAGTACACCCATGCAAGTTGTACAATTTCTAAATGATCTCTATACCTGCTTCGATTCTATAGTTGAGAACTTCGATGTGTACAAAGTGGAAACGATAGGTGATGCTTATATGGTTGTATCAGGCTTACCAATACGAAATGGAAATCAACATGCGCGTGAGATAGCACGCTTAGCACTAGCTCTATTGGAAGCTGTGCATAATTTTAAAATTCACCATCGTCCCGATGACAGACTTAAACTTAGAATTGGTCTACATACAGGTGCGTGCGTAGCTGGTGTGGTTGGATTAAAAATGCCACGTTATTGCCTATTCGGTGACACTGTAAACACAGCCTCACGAATGGAATCAAATGGTGAGGCATTGAAAATACACATTAGCGAAAAAACAAAATTGGCGCTTGATGAATTTGGTACGTTTATTACTACGAAACGTGGTTTTGTACCAATGAAAGGTAAAGGTGAAATGTTAACATATTGGTTAGAAGGTGAAATGACAAAACCAGACTTAACATTGTCACCCAATAAAATGTTACTATCCAGACGTTCATCACTTAAACAACCACCACGTTATGGATTAACTAAAATGCATTCAGAGATCTCAACAATACCATTGATTCAACAACAACAATCCATAGAATGTAAAAATTCACCAAATTTACGTGTTAAACGTAAAATATCATCTTCCTCTCCAAAACTTAATAGTAACGATTGCAAGACTGAAGATTTCTATTATTACTTAGATGCGGCAAAACAGTCTCAGAATGAAAGATATAATCCGCTAAGTAGGAAACGCGATAGCGCTGGCGCTGAAGACATTTACAGTAGTCGTTCACTGCGAGAACCGACTAAAGATTCCACAGAACTTGCAAATTTTCGTCTACCGCTCTCTGGAGCTTTAAAAAACCACAACAACAATTATAGTACTATTAGACACGAAAATTCGAATTCTAATCTAAGTGGAATATTGCATCCTTCGAGTAGAGTTAAACTTAAACAATCACCGACGATCTCAACGCTCATGGCTAATGCACGCGCAGAGTATGATAACTGCAGTCTCAGTAGTGCAAATCGCATAACATTTTGTGTAAGAGAGGATGCTTTCGAAGATGTTGAAGATGTTAATGATGAACACGAAGACGAAAGCACACAATTGCATACATTAAATGACAATTGCAATACCAATAATGATAATTGCAATACCAACAGCAGCAAAGCGCATCTATTGGAGGAAAACCAACCATATAGAAACATTAGCCCAGCTAATAAACTATGTAATAGTAATAATTTCAATCATATTGTCAAAACGAATAATATAAAAAACTATAAACTTTTATGCAGAAATGCATCGAATTCTGACAATGACAGAAGAGATTCTCCTGTACTTAATGGCGGATCAAATAATGGAACTGTGAATGGTGTCATTATAAATGCTGTAACTCAACCATTGTTAACAAAAATTAATTCATAATTTATTAAAACCATTAATGTTTAAACTATTAGCGAACAATTTTAGTATTAAGTTTATTTTATGGCTTAGATGTGATCGTATATAGATTTAAGTTTCAAGAAAAATTTGTTTCAGTGTATTGAAAAACATATAAATTACTCATTTATAATAATCAGATTAGCATAATTTAAATAAATTATAAAATTAGTATTTGTAATAATTTATTCACACAGTAAGCTAGATTAATTAACTAAAATTAAGTGAGTATTAAGTGATTTAAAAAATTGCGCAAATAAGATGTAAAAAATTAAGAAATATTTTTCTAAATGTTGATAATAAAATTATTAATTAACTCAAAATTTCCTTCTTTATGGCTGTTCTATGTATTTTTTTTAAATATAAGCTAAAAATTACTTCTAACTAAATTTTAAATCAATTGTAATATACATAATTTATTTGCTGATTTTAAGAAAAAAATTAATATAAATTTATATAATCTATATTTATATTAAGTAGATAATAGTTTTGAATAGAAAACTTAAATTAATTATTCATTGAGAATAAAAATGTGTTTTTGAATATAATGCATTTTTTTTAAACCATTAAATTTTATTTAATGAGGTGAATATAATAGTATGTTTCCACTGCCTTCGTTAGACAAGTTTATGTGCTTCAGGTCGCTAATGAAATTAGGTTGACCATACGAAGAGCTTTCCTTATAACCACTTATAAGGTTGATTTACCATACAAAGAGTTTTCATATAAATGAGCTCATTATCCAAAAATCATCGCATTTAAGGTGAAAAATATCGAATACAACCCTTAAAAATACATTTTCCACAAGGAAGATGACCAAAATTTGATATATGTATCATGTGGTTTATATGCAGAATGTAAACAAACAGCTGAACTGCAAACAAAAACACTGAGGAAGTATTTAATAAAATCTTTGTTTTTATTAATTGAATATGTAATTCATATATAAAATGTATACTAATGATTTAATATATCAATTATATATTAAGTGTTTTTGTGTGATATATAATTAATAATTTTATAATAGAACTTTTATAATATTTATAAAAATTTTATAATATTTATAAGAGTTCTATCAGCTGCATAAATGATTTCATTATAATGTGAACGTTCACTCATTGATATAAATGAGCAAGTCGCTAATTAAGACAGTGTGAATTTACTGTAAGAATAAATCAAAGAAAATTACATAAAAAAACACAAGTCAAACAATCAAAGGATAAAAATTTTTAAAATTATTTGTTTTTAATTAATTAATTTATTATGATGAATTTGCATAATAAATTAGTTTACTTATACTATAAAACTGAATATCATCTGATTATAATGGAAATGTAAACAAACAAAAACTTATCTAGAACTTTCACAGAATTTTCTGACACGTAAAAGATCATTTACAAGCAATAATCAACTTATGCCAAGTAATGGCATAAGTAATAGTAATATTGATTGTAACTTTGCGCTTTCTGATCGATTTCCTAAAAACCTTTTCAAACAGCACATTTTGTTATCTTAATTTTGTTTTTTATTTTTCTTTTTTCATTTCCTTGCTTTCCTTTCTAACGATCCTAAGAATCCATTAGGACATTTTGGTCTATTGTGTTTCTGCATAAGGACTACAAGGCTTAAAAGCTGCCTTGAGAGCTTAATAAAGCCTAAAACAGTCTTTAGAGGAAGGTCCTGCAGTTTTTCAAGATTGTTGAAACAGTAAGTCCCTAGCAAAATCAACTACAGCTGCGCAGCTTTGAACAGTAACAAAATATAGGACACTTTTATCGTCCTTCCCACAATTGCGACAGGAATGATTAAACGGGTGATTGAATCTTTGAGCATGGTTTTCTAGACGATGACTGTGACCGTCCATAAACCATAAGACTGATATCTTCACATAATATCTGAATGAGATTGCGTTACTTTTTTTTAACAGAACGTGACCAACTTTTATACAGACGCCTGCATATCGTTAAGCCTTTCCACCTTGTATTAAATTGCTCAACACAATAAATTTCATCAACTGTGTGCGTGATGCTACCGGTATATTAAGATCATCCAGATGTTCTAAATGATTACTTGAAGAACCCCGCTTGATCAGTTCGTCGGCATTACAATTGCCGGGGTAGAGAAGTGTTAAATTTCGTCGACATCTCATTCAGAGCTGTGTAGCAGTCAAAAACCATCTGTTTATCATACGTTACGTTTATCATAATTCATACTAAAACAAATATCAATAATTACAATAAAGATAAAAAAGGACGCGTTTTACATCTACATAAAATTTTATTGGGATTTATGGTAAATGCAACAATATTTTGTTATATATACAGTGTTACTCAAAGTGACTACGAGTAGCTCGTGGAACAGACCTATTACCTTCATAAATTAAACTAAAAAACTGTTCATAGAAAAAATTCAAATGATTCGATGTTTTCTAAATCCCACCCTTACTAACGCTAATCATTCATTAACTCTGATTAAATAAAATGAAGGAAATACATTGAAAGTTTAATAAAATCATTACATGTGAACATTAAAAATATATTTTTGTATAAATTCTTTTGCCGCCTTTAATTTTCAGGTACTTCCACTATATATTTTAAATAAATTCACAATTGACAAATATCAATTTTCATGAATACAATGGTTACCAATTGAAAGTAACCATTACTATCACAAATATTTCTTTGTATCACAAACTATTTTTAACTATTGTGAATGGTTGACTTAAGAAGAAGTTGAGAGTGATAGTGCAATAAATGTAAGAAATCAGCTGGAAGTTAATAATGGTGTTTGTACTCATTGACGAAATAAAATATTTGGCAAATAGTTTTTTGCACTAGAACTAACAACAAAATAAAGTTAATACGGTCTTGTGTGTGTTAGAAAATATAAGAATTTGTTCAATTGTGAAAATAAAATTATTTGCGAACATAATTCTTCTTTTTCATTTGTAGTGCGTAAATTGCATAATTTTACTATTGAACGTGATTTAATTTACATGTATTGTCTATTTACACGAAAAAAGCATCAAAATGATTTGTTAAAACTTTTGTTTTCGTTTTTTGTGATTAATGATTGCACGTAGACAAGATTTAATTTTATTACATATTTTTGAATCCATATTTATATACGACACACGAAAAAACCGGTAAGTGGTCTGTCAAAATGCATAATTTGTTATAATGTACATATGTATATACTACTTGTGAATATTTACATTTAATAATACATAAACTATTTTTAACTATTTAATTTAAAGTTATTTAATTTTATTTAATCTCCCTACCAAGTAATTATTTATCTATATGGGTGTATGAACAATGCGCATATATATAAACTTTTATCGCAATTAAATATTATATGTAACTGGTAGTTTTTTTATGTCGCTTGTTATCGTTTTACTCTGAATCAGATTTGTTGTTACCAAACCTTTTTATTATTTTCTAATGTTGGATTTGTGTATTAAATAAACTTATGAAATTAAAGTTTTAACATCAGTAATATGGGTAAGTCATTTCAAATTCGATTTGGAAGATTTATAAAAATCTTTAAAAATGCTCTTTAACACACTTCAGTTAAAGCCCACTTTGGACGCAAAATTGATAAAATTTCTTCCCAGTATTTTAATAATTTTACTCTTGGTTTTGAACAGAAACTGAACCGTAAAGCGAAAAAAAAACATATTTTTTACCAGAGTTAACATCGAAACCGCTCCAAAAACAATATATGGTTTATATCGGTTCAGCACTGTACAGTTCTGTAAGTACTCATTAACACACATCTCTCTTCTGCAGTTAAAACTTTAATGAATGCAAGATAAAAGTTAAAGAATGGTTGTTATTTATAAACCTAAATGTTTTCTTTATTGAATAAATTTGTAGTTATGACAAAAAACTAATTTAAATGAATTGCAGAAATGAATTTCAAAAAGTAGCAGAGAAATTGTTTTTTTTTTTTGATTATTGCATGTGGGAGCTCTAACGATTTAGATATCCCGTTTCTCTAAACCTATTTTCACAATCTTCCTGTAATACAAGCTTAACTTTTTTTAGACTACGACTCTCAAAATAGGTTGCGTTAATGTTTTTAAAATCAATAATAATATTTCCATCAAGTAAAAATGGAAATTATATTTGGTATCTTATAATTAAATAGCATCAATTCTAAAATAAACACATATAAGCCTTAATTTATAAAATTAATTTATATATAATTTAACAGTTGTTTCCTATAACTTTGTTATAGGTCTATTCGGGGATACCTTAACCCAATACTTAGTATACATCTGAATTTATACATAGAATATTTAACATTCTGTTACTTGCTTGTCTACGCTTATCTTAATTCCATATGTTAGGATCAGTCTTAAATGTTTCTTGTAGACTCGCACTTTGCTTCTGACTATAAGCAAAAAAAAACTCATTTGTTTTTCAACATATAAACTTCTATTAATTATTTTGAAAAAAAAATATATTAATTATTTTGAATAATTTCCACACAAAAAACAATTGTTAGATTAATAATACAATTATAAATAATTTCAATTTTATAAAATTACTGTTTAGTGAATTTTTTAAATTAAAAAATTAAATCGAATTAAAAATTGTTGCTAATATTATATCAAATTTTTTAGTAACTATAACAATTATTTAAATTTTAAGTTTATTTATTTAAAAAAGTATACGAATAATGCCAATCATCACATTAAATTATTAAAATATCCGTATATTGTATAAACATAGCAAAAGTTTTTATCTCTAAAAATACAATTTCCAAATATATTTGTATATATTGGAATTAAGTGCTTCACCTTATAGTAATCAAATACGCATGGTTTAAGTTATTTGGTATGTAATTTTTACGTCATACCGAATTGTCAATTTATATGTCACACAACACACCGAATCAATAAAAATGTACTTTGCTTATTTTATCAATTAATTCATTATGATAATTTAAAACTAAACACATATTTAGTCAGTCGGTCTACCAGACTGAAATATGCATGTACAATTTTATATGTAAACATATAGAGCTTATTATATATGTAATATATAAAATAGTTAAAAATCAATAAAGGAATTTAGAACTTATCGTAAATGTGATATATTAAATGGTTAATAAATCAAGAGAGTAATTAGAAAAATTAATTCAATATATTTATTTTGTATATATAGTTTTCATGTGATAATACTATAGATTACTTTTTAAAAATTTGTTGATGTTAATAATCTATGTACAAAAGTACTTTAGTTAACAAGTTTTAAATATAAATAAATTAATATAAGAATGTGAAAAAAAACTTGTAAATAAAAAGAAAAAGGAATATAATATATATTTTGAAAGTCCAATATATAGCTTAAATAAATCGCCTAATATAGCGATGTACGGATAAACCCATTAAACAGAGAAAGTGTATTTGCAAATTTATATTTTTAAAAGTTTTTAATTTCAAATTAAAATTAAAATTAAAATAATTTACGATTATGTATAGGGATTGTATAAAATATGCGGCAATAATTAACTAACAAATTTGGTAAAAATATACAAGCAATCAATTTATAATAGATATGTATGTTCCACGATCTACTCGTAGTAAAACTCAACTAAAACACAAGTAAAGTACAAACTGAGAGCGTATAACAAATAAAGTGCCAAATTAAGTTCTTTACACAGATTTTCATGGCACAGTTTTGTATAAAATCTGTTGAGAACACTAGTGCCGCGTAAATAAACAACACAAAAATTTAAATTCAAACCAAAACAGCTGATTCACATATCCACATAAATTTTACTTAAAATAAAATGTACGGGTAAAGTCTGTGCAACATTTTCAAATTTCGACAGGGATGTTACGCTCTCTCAGATGTTCATATTTGCTAGTGGAACGCATTTGTGTATACACAGTGTTACTCAAAGTTAATACGAGTAGCTCGTGGAGCAGACCTAATATCGATCTTCATCATCTTTTCATCTGTCAGTTAAATTCAAATATAAACCAGTAATATTGCATTTTTTCAGAGATATTAAAAGTAGTTGTGTAAATCATATAAACAAAATTCACAAAATAACGCTGATTAATATAAAATTATAAATGCTTAAAGAATCTTATGTGGCTAATATAATCCTTTTTAAGGGAAATTAATGTTCACTTTATTGCTTAATAATTATGTTTACGAATTGAATGTATGGCTTTCGCAGTGGGTGGAGTAAAGGATTTCAAAACAGTACTTCTCAACGTGCAGAATGCATCCAATATGGAACAATTTATATATAAGTGGACATCAAGATTTAAAACTATTCTGTTAAATTTAAAACATCGATAATCAAAAAGTTTACTCAAAAGTTCGTTTATAAGATTACAGAAGATTACAGTTGTGGTTGTGATTGTGTGATTTCTTTATAATTTTACTACTGATAATGCATATTGGAATGTTTGCTTAGTTATTTTTCTTGCAATCAAAAAAAAAAACAAATCATTAAATGCATATATATGAATGCTAAAAAAAATCATTTTTCATTGGAAAAGCTATAATACTGGACTAATCTGTTTACTTTTTGTTTTTGGTTAATGGTGTACGTCATTAAGTGGACGTACCACAAGAAGCATTAAAACGAAAATAAAGCTGAAGTGAAAACTTGGAGAGTAAACTCAACTCTTCATATGAAAAATTAAAAAGATAAGAACAAAACGTATTTCATTGCAGATTCCTAAAGGATTCTCATCCAATGTAATAAATAACTAGCGTGATAAAATTTAAATATGGTTCCATAAACTTCAAACAAATAGATTGAAAACGAACTGAAAAATAGTTTGATTAAGTGATCTTTTGAGCAATCACTTAATCACATAATGCCTTATTCCAATTTTTTAATATAATATTAATGATAATTTAAAATTAAATTCTACTAAATTCAATATATTAATGTTAAATATTATATATATATGTATAAACTTAAAGCCATTTTTTTAATGTTTATTTCATTCCAATTCATTTTATATTAATTTTATTATTATTAAATAATAGGCTATGAATGCAACCCAACCTAAAAGATCTTTTGTGCGCCTAAATATTCAACGAAAACAGTTCTAGACTATTTATAAATCTCTTAATTGTTGTGGGCTTAATTTTCCCTTTTTGATTTGGGACTAAGATCCAGCTTTCAAGGTAGTCAAGTCTACGTTTTGCAGCCGCTCGGCAGTTGCATAGAACATGTTCTCATGTTTCCTTCTTCTCATATGACAGAGTCTTAACTAATAACAAATCTATATAGTTGTTTAAAATTGTAGCGTTCACATTATGATAAAATTGTAATGTAAATAAATATTTTTTTACTATTGACTTTGTATTGAAGATATGGTAGAATAAGAAATTATAGAAATGTGCTACATATTCTGAAGCACTAAAACGACGCGCGCAAAACTGAGTGCAAAACTTCTCTGCACCCGACAAGGTTTTTAGCATTAATAATCATAAATTATACTTTAATTTTTAGAACAAATTACTAAGCCACGCTGTCTTCTGATATTGAACGTAGCATATATGCTCTTAAAAAGAATGTAATTTAAAAAATTTATTTAAATCTAATAATTACAAATAAAAAAGAATTATAAAAAATTTTATATATAATTACACATAAAATACAATAAAATAAAATGTGTGCTTTAAAAAAAATTAACAATAATATATAATAACATAAATAATTAAACACATTGAGAAGTAAATAAAAAACTGTAGTGAGTAACTATTTTGTTAAAATTGAAAAAAAATAAAAATTTTATAAATGAAATATAACAACATAAATTATTATATATAAAATGAATTAATAAAATTTTAAAAAAAAAGAAATTACAAAAAAATTGTAGTTTACTACTATTCGAAACCTCTTTAAAAAAATTATAAATAAAAATGTTATATATTAAAAGAGATAAATGTGTAAATTATATTAATTGTAAAAGTTTTAAAATTAATTGCATATAATCGTGTATAATCAAGTATTTAAGATACAAAAAGAAAGATAAAAAAAACTAATAGAAATTTATTTTTATATCAGTAAAATTTTCAGTTTATAAACAATGCTTTATTGTCCGCCCAATGTAACGTTTTCCCAAATTTGGGTTAATCATGGCATATCTCACTGTTTTATGGATACAGTGGGTACCTCAGTGTATGCTGGATTCATACTCATATTTGGTTTTATACAACTAATGATGTACCGAAAATATGCTACCCGCATAACGGATCCAACACTAATATCGAAATCACGTCTATATGCATTACAATTATTTTTACTGGGCCTATTTCCAATATTGGCCATAATAAGATTTTTATTAAATGCACAAATATATTCCGATAGTGCGGTTTATGGATATATGGTAATTTATAAAGTAACACGTTCATCATACATAAGTAATTAAACCGTCTAACACTTACAGATACTTTCTACAGCGCTTATTTGTTTCGCATATCCATTTTCCATATGTCTCATTATTAAGGAGCGTAATTATCAATTACCTTCCTTACCAACACGAGGACATGGCTTAATATTGTTATTATTTTGGACCTTAGCCTTAATTAATGAATCTTTATCATTAATTAATTTACGACATGAGGATTGGTGGTTCAATTTAAAAACGTTAGTTTATTTTTTTAATATAATTTAACACATAATATAATTATTTATTTTTTCGCGCTGTAGTAATAAAGATGAAATTGAAATGGGTTTCTTTGTGGCACGGTACCTAATGTCTCTGCTCATATTTGTATTAGGCCTAAAAGCTCCTGGTATTATGTACCCCACTAATCCTCATCAACGTTTAAATGAGGATCCAGAACAAAACAACGACAATACGAACAGAGGCTCAGCATTTAAAAATGCTTATAAAAAACTACGCAAACTCTTTCCTTATCTTTGGCCTAAGAAAGATATGGTTTTACAAATTACTGTGCTGATTTGTATAATATTATTGTTAGCTGGACGCGTTATTAAACTTTTCTTACCCATTTATCGTAAAAAATTAGGTAAGACATATAGATATACTTTTTTCAAAGTACATGTATACATCTGCCTTTTCTAGTTGACAGTTTAACTATAGAACCAATAGTATTTCGTTGGGATTTCGTTTTGATATATGTTGCACTCTCATTCGTACAAGGCGGTGGCACCGGTACAATGGGTGTCTTCAATAATCTGCGCTCATTTTTATGGATACGCGTTCAACAATATACCACCAGAGAAATCGAAGTAGATCTGTTTAGACATTTACATCAACTGTCATTACGTTGGCATCTGCAAAGAAAAACAGGCGAGGTTCTGCGTGTTATGGATCGTGGCACTGACTCAATTAATAATCTCTTAAATTATATAATATTTTCTATAACACCAACAATTGTTGATTTGATTGTTGCTGTAGTTTTCTTTATTTATGCCTTCAACTGGTGGTTTGGACTTATTGTTTTCGCTACCATGTTCCTTTATATATGTAAGTGCACTTATAAATGTTTGTATTTAAATTTAATACATATATAACTTCCAATTAATGTAGTGGCTACTATAATGGTAACTGAATGGCGTACCAAATACCAACGTCGTATGAATCTAGCAGATAATGAGCAACGTACCCGTAGTGTGGACTCTTTACTAAATTTCGAAACCGTAAAATATTATGGAGGAGAAAAATATGAAGTAGACGCTTATCGGGAATCTATTTTAAAATATCAGGTATGTAGTAATAAATTATTTTATTATGAACTTTAAAATTTACCATTTTCTTTATATTATTAGAAAGAAGAATTCTTGACTTTACTTACGCTTAATTTGTTAAACACATCACAAAATATAATATTATGTATCGGTTTACTTTGTGGCTCCATGCTTTGTGTTTATCTTGTGGTTCATCACCAGACACTTACTGTCGGCGATTTCGTACTGTTTTTTACATATTTAATGGATCTCTACATGCCATTGAATTGGTTTGGAACTTATTATCGCGCTATACAAAAGAACTTTGTTGATATGGAGAATATGTTTGATCTCCTTAAGGAAGAAGAAGAAATTATTGATGCACCAGGTGCTGCGCCTTTACTCACTGCTGGTGGTGGCATAGAGTTTTCAAATGTTACATTCGGTTATTCACCTGAAAAAGTAGTTCTTCGTAATGTTAGTTTTAAGGTACCGCCAGGAAAGACTATCGCTATTGTTGGTCCTTCAGGTGCAGGTAAAAGTACAATCGTAAGACTGCTTTTCCGTTTCTATGATGTGCAAGGAGGTGCTATATCTATAGATGATCAAAATATAAAATTAGTGCAACAAGAAACATTACGTAAAGCAATTGGTAATTAATAATACAATATTATTATGTAGATTTAATAAAAACTAACAAATAATTGTAGGTGTTGTACCGCAAGATACTGTACTATTTAATAATACAATTTATTATAATATCGAATACGGAAAAATTGGTTCGAATGCTGATGAGGTTTATGAAGCAGCTCGCAATGCTGATATACATGAACGTATACTTAATTTCCCTGATCGTTATGAGACAAAAGTTGGTGAACGTGGCCTACGTTTAAGTGGTGGTGAAAAACAACGTGTTGCTATAGCACGTACAATACTCAAATCACCAATTGTAGTTTTATTGGATGAAGCAACATCCGCACTGGATACTAATACAGAACGTAATATACAATCCGCACTATCACGTGTTTGTGCCAATCGTACAACTGTTATAATTGCACATCGTTTGTCTACTATTATACATGCCGATGAAATTCTAGTTTTGAAAGATGGTTCAATTGCTGAACGAGGTAGACACGATGAATTACTGCAAATGGATGGTGGTTTATATGCAGAAATGTGGTTACAACAACTAAAAAATTTAGATAGCCACAGTGATGAGAATATTGAGAATATAGGAACAGATGTAAATATGCCAACATCAAGTAATGCCAAGGGTGGTGGCACGAGTGCCTTATTGAGATCTGGACATGGGCATGGCGGTGGTCATTAGAAATTATCAACTATATTTATGTTATTTATGATATATAAGATGTGGCAAAATGCTAATATTTAAATTCCATATTATGAAAATTATTTTTTTCCTTGAATCCTAAAAAAAATACAATGTGATGTTAAAAAGCTTACAGATCTACAAAAAAATAAATATTTTTATAAATTTTAAAAAATGTTATCAATTAGTTTTTTATATTTTGCTTACTGAAAGAATTCTTCAATTTTAAATATTTCGATCCTCCTATCATTTGGTACAAAAGTTTATATATTATATATATAAATATTAATTTGATTATAGTTTTATATCTAATATATGTGCACAATAAACATTATTAGTATTCTATATTATTTTACTATTCATCTTATCTCTTTTCATAAATGATACAAATTAAGACACATTTTTTGATTTTATTGAACTAATTTTAAACATAAATATTTGTACAAGTAAACTTTTATACAATTGAAATTTAATATTGCTTAAAATTTATACTTTCTGTGTATAATATTAAAACATTGTTATGCTAAATAGAATTAATATTAATTTTAAAGCTAACTTTTCTAGTTGTATTGTTTATGTTGTATTATTTATATATTAATATATATATATATATATATGTTATTATTATTATTAATACTTATTATTATTAATAATTAATATAAATATGTTGTCCATTTTTTTTAATATGCTTAGATAACAAAAAAATGTTTATATACTACAAATATGCTATTTCAATAAAGCTAATGATTAGTATGTGGTGTACAAACATTCTTATTAATGTTATATATGTGTTCTTCAATATGTGATACTACAATATTTAATTAATTATTTGAAACCAATTTTAAGTTAATTTATTTTTCTCATAAATACTATATTTCGTACTTATGTTCAGTATTGTTAATATTTTCTTAATACTTGATTAATATAAATATTTTTGTATAATAATAAATATAATTACCAATAATAATTTTTGTATAATAATATATATTTTATATATAAAATATAATTATGCTATTATTTTATATAATTAAAATTTTTAAATAAAATATATTATACAAATTTATTATTTATTTATGATATACATATTAAATACAATATTTAAATTATTTCTAATTGTACTACTTACTTTTGCATGCCTTTTTGTGTCTAATACTATCTTTAGTATATAAACATAGCTTTTAGTTTATATATATATTTTATTTTAAATAAATATACTTTATTTTTATATTGTATTAAAATATCCTTACTCTTTATATATATTTTTTTTTGTGAGTGATTGTTGTGCATGTTTTACATATTGATGTATATAAATATAAATAAATGTACAATATATATGTATATATATATATTGTATATATAGTATATATATGTATATATATAAATAAATATACAGAATATATGTATATGTGTACGTATATATGTTAATAACAAATTATTATTTATATTTTTTATATTGTAGTCTTTTGTACTGATCATTCTGTTTTTATATACATATAATACTAACTTATGTATATATTATTGTTATATTATTAAGTAATTAAAAATATATATGCTTAATTGTTTGATTTGTATTACTTTTTAAATCCATATTAAATACTTTTTATAGTGTAGTTTAAAGTACCAAGCTTTTATTTATTTTTTGAACAGTAAATATTTAATTAAAATAATAATTAAAATAGTTTTATATAGCTGACTATATGATTGTATTATTAATGTAAAACTTAACAATTTTAAATGTAAAAACTTTACAACTACAATCTGTCAACGCTTTTGAAGTTAAAATTATTTACTATAACTTTCAATCTATTACTATTCATTATTATACCAGTACTTATTTATAAATCCCAGATTTAGATGCTCAGCAAAAAACGTTTTGATATTTTTGTCGCATTTCAGAGATAAATTCTACAGAGAAATATTGGCCCCACATTTAAAAAAGGGTAATGCAAGTCTAAAAATGATGTATGTCCTTGTAAAAAGCAGGTAAAACAACAAAAATAAAGCATGCTGAAGTTCGGTGGACTGGCTATATAGCTCTTCTGAGCTGAAAGAAACTTAATCAGAAAATCCTTCGTTGTAAATTTTTTGGTAGAAGGCAATGAAGTAGACAAACTCTACGCTAGATGGTTAGCGTAAACCAGAATGGGTTTAGAAAAGCTCAACTGGATGATATAAACCCGAAATTTGGAAAGGTTTTTTAAAAACTAGCTCCGGTGATGATAATGATATTGTCTCCCTCGTGCATTAAGCAATGTGCTGGTTCAGTAAGGGACTATGTATAACCAAGTGTTAAACAGTCACTTGTCACATATTACTGACACAGTCTCTAATGTACGCCTCTACAGCTCTACTCAACATTACCATTCTGATCCCCATCGATATATGACTGCTCTCATGAGAAAAGACAAGGTTTTTCTAACTAAACCCAGGTTACGATCAACTATATCTACTCATTCTTCCATTTTTTACCTTATATTAGTTCTCTACACAATTTTCGTCCAGTAGTTTTTTAAATGTAATCTTATCATCCGTTGGACTACAATACCATTACTGTATACATATAATCGTAATATTTTGTTATTGGTTTTTTTTAACAAAAAAATAAAATAAATAATAAAAAATACTACAAATTTCTACTTGATTTGAACATTTTGAGTACATATAATACATCCCTCGTAATTCTTTTTTATAAATTAATCTTTATAAGAAGAAGTTGATATGCTGTCTGCAGTGCCGATAATGAAACATATATACATATATGCTAAAATATATAATTTTATATGCATGAATGGATGATTGTACAATCAGTTGAACTTCAGCCCTTCTTACAAGCACCATTTAACTTAATTGTTGTATGTCTGTTTGAAACTTTAATGTTAATAAAAATATTGCCTGGGAATTTCTTTTAAGTATGATTAAAGAAATAAAAAATAAAATATTCATATTAAATTGATTCTCAAATTCAAGTTTAAATTGACACTCATAGAATGTAAAAAAAAAATTGCAAGATACTAAATGAATAATTTTATATACCTATAATACTGAGAGCGTATTTATTTTCAGTTTAATTCTAATTTATTATTAATATATTTTTAAACTTTTATAAAACAAAAACCTTGTGGATGTACAGCTTTTACCCTAAAAAGTTACAAATCAATCGTTCGGAAAAAATAATCGAACAAATGCCTTAAATATACTTAAAGACGTTATATATAATAAATTTAAATAGTGATCTCATATGTTATTAACATATCATTACTTTTGTAAATAGGAAAGAATGCATGATGAAATTTTTAGTAAATTTTATTTTAAACTTATATTGCATTTAACACATAAAATAAGTCTTGGGGAATAAGTCTCACTGTAGAAAGGGTGTTTTAGTCCGTATACTACATATTAGTGTCGGGCACTCCATTCCGACGATGGTCGATTTGACAGTGAATAAAGCAGGAAGTGGAGGTGAAATCCTCACCACAAAAAAAAACATACAATTAATATAATAACACATATAATATATTAATTTAATCAAGACTTTGTATACCAAATAGTGTCTCTGATTTCTCCTTCACATTTAAATGTGGGGAAGTCTTGTTATATTTTAATAATAAACGAGACTTGTAAGAACTATGCAATAGACTATATATATTTAGTTATGCAAATAAAATGAAATACTTTATTAGAATTAGTCCTGTTTGTAGTTTATTATTTTATTTTTCAGGGATATAATATTTTTATTACAAGATATTTGATATATATTTATTGTTTTTTTATTTTTTAAAATTTTTATTGTTATTAACTATTATTAAATTTTATTATTTACAAACTGTTAAGGATTTTAGTGTTTTATTAGCTATAAATATTTCTCTTTCAATAATTATCAATTGTTCAAAGAGTACATATAGTGAAGATTTTATTCAATTTAACATATAAGATGACTCTGGCGTTCATTTGAGCAGCTCTTAAAATATATATTTTTTCTTATCTGCAAATCAAGAAGGAAGCTCACATAGAATTAAGATGCTGAGTGTTCGCTCAGTTCGGGTTTGGACTGCGAGCGTCGCTAACGGATGCGGATGGAATTCGAAAATAAGTTTAAAACTATCAAAATTTTTATTATCTTGTATTAAAGATAACACAAATAATTTCAATTCGCTGTGGTTTTAAAAATTCGGTATTTTACGGTTTGGTGTCTTTAAAACCTAAAAAAACGAAAAATATCTAATCTATGAAGAGGCAGTCGACCCATATTTTTTTTGTGTTGTATAGACAAAAATACGAATTCGTTATCAGTGAAATACAAAACAAAAAAAAATTAATTAAAACAAATTTTTAAATTGTATTTAGTTCCTCTACAAATAAATTATTGTGCGCAAATTTTTCTATGTTTCCAATAAAAGTTTGCGAATTTTGAATAAAAAAAAACAACATTTATTTTGTGAATTAGTAAAAATTAAAAAATAACAGCGAAACGCGTACACGGCATCTAAGTAATATATATATATATATATATATATATATACTCATTAAAAGAAATATATATATATATCGAAATATATTAATAAATATGAAGCGGCTTAAGTGTTCAGTATTAGTTTGTATGTAAATTTTATAATTGATATATCTTATTTATATTTATATATATATGATATCACATAAATTACAAATCTATGGAACAAATTTTATCTTATTAAAAAATAACAAAGGAACGCTTAAATAAAAATTAAGTTAAATATTAAAAATTAAATAATTAAAAATTAAATAATTAAATTAAATTATATAATAAAAATTTTGATCTGCAAATCTATGAAATAAATTTAAAAAAAATTAAATATATTTGCAACATTTAAATTAAAATTAATTCAATGAATTTAGTGATAAAGTGAACCAGGAGAATAATAATAAATACAACAACAAAAAGCAAGCAAATGAAGAAAAGTCTAATGTCATTTATTATACATTTTTATTTGTTTTAGTGATAATTAAAATCAAATTAAAGCTAATAATTGATAAGTCTAATCAAAATTTATATTCACATATAATGCAAATATACAAAAAATTTTTTCTTCAACTCTTCGCACAGATCTTTTTCTTATATTCGATGCCGGCAGTGCATTTAACATCATTGCCGTTAATAAACAAATGCTATACGAATATGTTGGCACAGTGGCAGTTGGTGCTAAGGCACCACAAGAGGATGAGCATCCGTCACCGCCAACATCCGGTTGGATTGTACGCGGGAAATTAACTCTACAACGACCCAATGCAGAGACATTAGCTGCAGCGGTAAGTGTAATTCGTATGTGCGTTTCAATAAAGGACTATGTACAATAGATTACGATCATATAAAGTAGTTAACTCGTAAATATTTTTTTCGGCATAAGTGAAATCGATTTAATTTTATTTTATAACTTGTATAATAACTTAAAGTTATTGAGATATAATTTTATTATATCTACCAAATTATGAAGATTTGTTGTTCTTGCACAAAAATGCCTTTTACAAAGAAATCTCAATATTTTATAATCTTAATAAGATTAATAAAAAATCTATACATATACATCTATACATAGATCTATACATATGTATGTCAACTAAATATCTGAAAGAAAAATATTGAAGGATGTTATTATGGTTTTTTTTTTTTTGATTGAAAATATTACTTAGTAGTAGTATTTGGTATTATTATTACTTAATATAGTGGGAATAAAATAAATCCCTTATCATTATATATTTAATTAAAAATCTGCTTTCGTATATAAATTATTAATATCGAAATAATATATAATGTCAATAACATACCCAAGATTTTACTGAGTAAAGAAAAAATAGATTTTAGTTATATATTTTTGAAGAAATGTTACTGAACCCACCCCCCTGGTTCAGTTTCGAATTGGTATATATTCATAAATATAAATTTATGTGGTCTCACAAATTATATAGTAATTTATATAGTAAATTATTACAAAATGAAGTTGTTCATAATCACAAAATAATTTTATAATTAAAATAATTAAATAAAAAACTTCTTAAAAAATCATATAATCACCATCAGGGTTCTATAAAATTTTAATAAAATGTAATAAATTTTATAGTACTCTGATGATGACTATAGATTATAGTCAAAATGTCGGTTAAAATAAAATATAATAATAATAAAAAATAAATATAATAAAATAAAAATTGACCAATTAGCCCGTAAAAAAAAATGATTATTAAAAATATTTGGTTATTACAACAATAAACTATTATAAATAAAATAATAAATTAAATATAAATTAACTTTTGAAAAGTAAGTAAGATAATACTGTTATTCTTACTTACCATATAAACTAATCCACTATACAATATACATATATAATACAAAGTTTTCTCTAATAAAATATCAAAAAAGGGGGAAATAATATACTTTAGTCCAAGAAAAAATCCTGCGGAAGGGGAAAGCGATCCATTTGCAATATTAACCTTTAAAGTTTTTCAGGAAGACATTTCTTTAAAACACTTTATCTCGGTTAATATAAAAAATATAACCTATTCTTACCTTCTTATACGGCTTAAATATGTAAATATGTCATTAAATGAATAAATTACTGAATTAATATTAGTAGAAATAATGTACTTAATCTGCTATCAAAGTGTATGATGAATTTATAAACATTTTCGGTTTTCTAATCTTGTGTCGTTAGATTTTTTTGTGAAAAAATACACTCCTGCTGAAATATGATTTGTTTATTCTTCCTCATACTATCTAACCAGAGTCTCCCCATTCTATCTAAAGAGATTAACCTATGCCTTTTTAAAGAAGTTGCATAACATGAACAACTGTATAAAATTTATTATGACCACATACTATTGTTTATTAGAAGAAAACTTTACCATTATAAGACAATTTGTTCCAAGTTAAACCCTGAGCGAAATCAAAGATCTCCCACAGGGATTCTCGTGAAGACTTTTGTCAGTGATCTGTATCTTATGTTTTTTTTTCTGCGTTTTACACGAATTCGTACATTATTGACTGGTGTTTCTTTTTCAGAAATCAAACACAATTGAGAAAATTGTTTAACACCTAATCGATATGTTCACACGGGAAGTAACGATAACTTCTTCTATTACTTTATAATACCTTATTTAAGATGCCAAGTAGCAATAAAAATGTTTTATGAATATTAAATATACTTTAGAGTAAATGAATAAAGTACGAGTATTAAGTTGTTATGAAGTATAGGATTTTCTTAAGAACAACTTTTTTGTGCTTTTGTAAAACTTCTCTCCTACAAATATTTTGATAACTCAAAAAAATATCAAATCAAAAATATCAAATTTACTATATTCACTAGTATTGTATTTGTGTCTATAGTCTTAATTGGTACTCTTAATATAGTCAGGAATTATTTTATAAATCTATACGCATATATAATCATTTTTGTAGGTCATAACCTTTCTATGGATATATTACCGAGAATGTTTATTCTAATCTCAAGTTCTTATTCATGTCAAAACAATTGCAACTGTCACACAATCTTCTGCAATTATTATGGATTCAGGAACTATAGGTATAGAGGAGTATTATCTCCATAAAAATATCATTAATCTTTATTTGTTTACGCAGCACACATATAAAATTGAATTATTTTTGTTATAATTTTCAAGATGATCAATTCGAGTTTTTAATGGGTTCACTACTTTCTCCACTTTGATTTCAAAACTGTACTTATTAATAAAATTATCTATTATATTTTCACTGGTTATTTACATTTGCCGTTTATGCAAATGTAAATAACCCGTCTTATACTTTTACTGGCTTAAAAAGATTAGTGATCGGTAAAGGTTTTTAACTATATAGATAGATACGGTATTATTAGTGTAGATATCGATGTTCTTAAATTTTTCCACGGAAAAGTTAAGGCCTTTTATATTTTTATTTATTAATGGTAAACAATTTTATTAAACTAATAAACTAAGCTATGTTATTGTTATCTATATCGCTTCAAATATTATTATTATTGCTCCAAGTGTTTAATTTAAATTCGTTTACCTCTTTTATATTTTTAAAATTACATTCTTAATTAAAAATAATTGTTTCAGTTAGTTTGTTTTATATGCTTTCTTTTTTATATTTACAATTTTAAATTAACGTTTAATGTAAGTATACAAGTATTCTTAACCCATTATAAATTTACCATACTATGCTACATTTGGTCATATGTTTTTTAGGACTATGGACAACTATGGCTTACGCTGTATTTCTCTAGGTTTTTTACTTAAAAAAAATATTGCATAATTATTTTCTATATATATTTGCAATATGCTTTCCTTTCTTAGAACAATAGATGTGCATTTTGTCAGATGTGGACTCAAGACAGTCTACATTCTACTAAGTTAACTATTATTATCTGCAACAGAATTAAGAAAACATGGAATATCGCTTTTGTTCTTGTTGAACTCTCTTAAGAACTTAACTAAAATTCTATGTAGCGACGAGTTTTAGAGGCTGAACTTCTCCTGTATTATCGTAAGCGGTTATTCAGTTTTATTAATTACTATTAAATACTATTATTCAAATATATGTGTGTTTTATCGTGGACCAATCCCTCTACTTACCTACCTACTGCTATCTTTATATTTAATTTCTTAACATTAACAGTGTATTGTTTTTTTATTTTTCCTAAGACCTATTCGAAATTCGCACATATCACTAAGTTGAATCATATCCAAGTGAGTTAACATATGATTCGTCGGTACTCGCAGTTTTAAGAATATGTTTAATCGAAGTAGTTTCTTAGAATTATAAATATAGATTCTAAAAAATCGGAACTTACTGCAATAATTATATTTTCTTTCCCCATAAATTTGGTTATATTTTTAGAAATAATCAAAATTACACAGCGGTAAAACCAAGAAATATGCTACTGTACGATTTTCTTCATTCCCTAAAAGTGCAATCATTTTTTCAGCAGTATTTGCTGACGCGTTATGGTGATACAGAAAATATCGACACGGTTTTTCTTTTTGATTTTCCAACGAATTTGTGGTAAGCAGGTTTCAGTATATCATTCAGATGTGACCTTCTGTCCAGTTTTTCAAAGAATAATAGCTACAACTTATTATTTGGTAAAATCGACTCATTATTTTTGTTGCTGGCCTTTGTTACTTCACTTTAACGCGTGAATTAGCTCTACAGACTGTTGCTTTGTATCTAAGTCGTACTTATCGAACTAAGGTTTATAATATATTTGAGTTTTATTCAAGGTGATGGAGTCTCCATTTTTAATTTTTTAAACAACATAATATTAAGCCAATCGCACATTCACCTATTCTTGTGCTTAGTTTTAAGTGTGTCTAATATGATTATTTAAAATTCACAATACAATCAAGGCATTTGAACCCATTTTTTCAGCAATCTCTTCCTAGATCAATTCTGAATGTTCATTAATTTTTGAAATAACCAGAACAATACTAAAGTAAGAACAACACTTCACAGAAAAATGGCTGTCTGAAATCTCCGGAACTACTTAAAGACACAAGCGTTGGTGCTTTATCTCCATAAATTATTTGGTACTCATTAAATATTTTCACAGTTTTGAGGTTATGCCTAAATATATAAAGAATAGCAAACTGAATCTATTGTTGCGCCGACGGTGGAATTTGCACCTGCTCTATGTGATTTAGTTGTATTTCCTTGTTTTTATTTTAATTGCTTACTGTGAAAGTTTAAATAAAATATCCCAATACTATATCAAATCTATCAGCATTGTTTTGATTTGCCTAAAATTATTAGTCATTTCTTAATATGCAAAAAACCCAGTACGTTTACTCGTACATATTGTATAATTTCATATACTTCTATAATTCCACATCGTAGCATCGTTAATTCAGCTAAACTTCACTTAGCTGAATTAAGAAATAATTTATATGATAAGATTTGATTAATACTTAGTTTAGGACTGCGCTTCAGGTATAGCTATAGTTGAAGGCAGGTATAGCTGGAGTTGAAGGCAGGTATAGGTAGATTCAATCTTCTTAATATTGCGATATCATATATACATGTATAACTTGCTGCGTAAAATCTATCTTTGCATTTACATATGATTTCCAATCAATATTGATTTTTAAAATTTTTGAAACATCATCCGATCAGTCTATAGTCTGTATAAAGAATAGTGATCTATTGTTATTTGGATGATCATTTTATTTTAAATAAATAACATACTCCTAGTGTATGTATATATATTTATATACGTAACACTCGTGGTTAGTATGTAAAACATCTTAAAGACCCTTAAAGTATTTGCAGGAAATTAATTACCGAACCTTGATAGATATTCCCACAGTGAGGATGTGCATATTAAGTAAAACATTTGCAGTAGTGAGAACAAGTATATTTTATTGATAAAAAATGTTTAGCAATCATTATTTTATTATAAATGTAATACATTTTAAATTCGCATATGTTATCTGTGCTTTAAAGTCATTTAATAATAAAGCACATGATAGGCATGTGTGCAAATGTAAGCATCTTATAAATTAATTGTTTATATATATTTTTTTGCTCAAGTGTCAGATAGTTTAACCTTTCACTAACACATTTTCATATAATTAAATAATAAAATTTCTTGATTGATGTACTTATGAATATCAAAGAGTTTTTTATTTTAATATAAGTGAACCACGAAATAAAAAAGACAAATATTTTTATCAATAAAATCTAGCGGCATGACTTTACGTTTTTCCAAATCTTTCGCAGATGTTAATACACTTAAAAAATTTGTAAAAAATCAAATATAATAAATGTATATCTTTAAATCGACCTTAGCAATAGAATTCATAATTAAAGGGAATTCCAAAAAAAATATACTTAAATGACTGACTACATATTGTTCAAAAGGTGTAGAATAAATCTAATATATTAGTTAATGTATATCTTTAAATCGACCTTATCAGTAAAATTCACAATTGAAAAAACAAACTTTAATGACTGACTATATATTGTTGACATATGATTCACAAACTGCACATAATTTAAAAATTTATAATGGATCCAAAATTTCTGCTATATAATATACTATATATATAATGCTAGAATATATAAAATCAATTATAATCTTTTTGAATTCTTTAATGAAAAACAATATAGAATCTGGGTTCAATAATGTAAAAATTTAAATAATAAGCCAAAGAATGTATCCAGTTTTTGAAACCTATTAATTCGTAATGGAATAAGTATTATGGTAAACTATTAATTTTTCTAACACAATCTACTCTTTTTTTATTTAATCTGTATGTACTTCGTCAAAACAATAAAGCTAACTAAAGTATGAGTATATATTATATACTCATCAAGGTGTATGTACTTCGTTAAAATAATAAAGCTAACAAAAATATTGGTATATATTATATACTCATCAAGGTGGTTTTTAAATCATTGACTTTTATACGGCAATAACAAAATTAAAGGTAAAACATAAGAAACAAGAATTTATACTATGACGTGCAACACAAATCGAAGAAACAATGAGCCAATCGGCCTAAGTAGATCCTCAGGATCGCCGGTATAACCTAACCTAACTTATTTTATATAATTATATAATATACTATATTATATCATATAATAAGTTTAAACATACAGTTATCCAGGTCTAAAATTCATAATGATGCTGTTTTCAATCACTAACAACATATAGCAGGGTGGTTGATAACTTCTAACATTAAGCTATTAGTCATAGAAGCAAATTAAATAAATATAGGAATATATATGCGTGTATGCATGACATATGTGTCAAATCAAATAAGAACTTTATATATAATTTAAGCTTTTTTATCCTTAAATTGATTGGATTACGAGATGTATTTCATGATGCAATATCTTGTTGAAACCATACATCGTCTAGCGTTTTTTATTAACAGTAACTGCAACATCGTTTCCATCTAAAAAAAATACAGATCCAAGTACGTATTTAAACAATAAACCAGACCAAACTAGATTGTGTCGTTTTTAATCCAAATGAGATAATTTTACTGATTTACAAAACCATCTAACCGCAAAGGTGTGCCATCGTTTGAAACGATTTCTTTATTAAATAATACAGCTGTTTTTATATGCTCCAAATTTTAATCTGTGAAATTTCTAGGTATTTAATTCATATACATTGGTCAATCTACTATTCTTATATTCTATCTGAAAGTTCTTATTTTCATACACAATATCTTTCACAGTATCGATATATTATTTAATTTCACATGCTGGATTCACAAGCACTGAGTTTATATAGACTTTTTATTTTAATTTTTTGTGGATTAGAGGTATTTAAATTGCAGCTAATTATTGAGTTATTATGCTCTCATATAATATTATATCAATAATTTGTGTATTCTCTTCCAAATCCTTATCTTAAAGATATAAAAAATTTATTTTTATATCAACTTGTTTAAGAATAAAAAGTTGAGTGATTCACCTAAAACCGGATTCTATCCATTTAGTTAGCACTCACGAAAAATCGGATGAATTCAATATATAATATTAGATATTCATGTATAAAAAGGTTTGTTAAGATTGTGGATGCTTGCATGTGAAAGATCTTCACATATATGTCGCGTTGTTGAAACCAGAAACGTAATTCTTTCAACATTTACATTGAAGTTTGTATTAGAATGGTTTAAGCAAAACAATGTGGACTTTAAATCTACTAAATCACTTTCTTGTTTGGTCCCGAAAACATAACCTAATTCTATTTTATTCTTTAGCTTATTTCAAATTATTTTAAATAATTATTAAGGAACTATTCTTTCCTATCGTATTTGGTCATAAATTTAAGTAAACATTCTACGGTTGGTATTACGATCAGAAAGTTTAGTGATTGTGATATTTTTTACCATTATTATTAATCTATGTAATATTAAAATGTTTTTCACCTTTTCAATATGTCCATTTCAAACTAGTTCCACATATTTTCAATGGCTTTATTTGTCAATGTATCGAACATGAATTCTACTCAGCACTCATGAATTCTACAGCACTCCAAATATAATATAAATATAAATATAAAAATAAATATATAAAAATTATTCACTTATAAAGAAATTGTTAATAGTCCTTCCTAAAAATACTAATTAAATTTTTGTAAAAATTTAAACATAAAGTCTATATAATATATTTTTAATTATTAGTTGGTTATAGATGATGTTACCCTTAATAATTCAGGTGAAAAATTCCTACAAAATAAGGAAATGTACCCGCCTTACAAACCTTTTAAAATTTTACTTAATACCGATGGAACTATATCACATTTGATTTTTAAAGAAAGTGATCCTATATGGTCCACAAATTTCAAACGCGCTATAGCATCTATATTACAATTTCAAATAAATTCGTCAGGTGCCTTTGTTGTCAAAGAGGTAAGCTTATAACATAAATTTTTAATAAAATTCTTTATTTAAAAGTATATATAAATTACTAATAAACTACAGATTGGAATACATGGAAAATGTTCCACCGAATATTTCGTATCGAATAAGACTAATTATATTTCGATACGCAAGACACCTGTCCTGGAAACATGCCAACCATTCTCGGAAGCCATACATATTAACCGTAGCAATGTGCCAGCGAACAATTGTGAATTTGACTTTCAAAAAAATGTCATAGTTGGTAACGAAGCCATTTATGGTCTTCTGCCACATGAAGAGACTGAATACTTCTTAAGTATGGCACATGTAAAAGGAACTATACTAGTACACACTTTTGAGTCTACCGGAGAAGCACAATTTATTAATTCTGAGTAAGTTAAAAAAGTATTGCACATTTGAGTATATTGTAGGAAATTAATTAAATACATTTACTTTTAAATAGGTTGCTACTTAATTTCCTTAATGAAACAACTATTGATAATCCTATTGATATAGAAACTTCTATGACTGCTGAGAGATCTGGTTTAGAGCTACTTCCTTTGGATTTAAATGATCCTACTGGTGGACGTAGTCCGCAACAACAGGAAACTTTATTTGCAGCTGCTTCGACTATGTTAAATAAACTAGTCGAAGGTTTGGAAGATGCGGATTTCAAATTTAGTGAACCATATGATTCTACTGTATCGGAAATCATTAAAGTATTAACAGAAATGGATTATGATTCATTAAAAAAACTATACACAGATGTGGATATAGGCACTTCTTATAGGCAGGAAACTATACGCAATATTTTTCACGAAATTATTCCAAGAATTGGAACAAAAGCATCAGTATATCTTACAAAAGACTTAGTTGTAAATAATGAAGTGAAATCTACTATTGCCGTACAGCTCCTCATATCAATGCCATTTCATATAATCGAGCTTTCATATGATTTAATTAAAACATGTGAAGTATTTTTAACATTAGGTTGGTATTCTTAATATTATTCCGGTGTACCTACCATAATAATATCTATGTATTATATCACATATTTTTTAGGTCCAGATAAACCAGATGTTCGTCAAGCAGCAATTTTAAGTTTTGCTACTTTAGTTTATAGTGTATATGTTGCAGGACGCATAAATAAGGATGTATTTGAGGACTACGTGCAAAAGTATTTTAATTTTTATTTAAGTAAGTATAAATAGTAAATATATTCAAAAAGTTATATAAATGAGTGTTAGTTATATAAATGAGTAGGGATGGTCAAAATTGCAAGGTAGTCAAAATAATATTTTAAAATGAAACGGGACACCATGTGGTAATGGTCACCCAATCAAATCGGTCAAATCGATGTGGAAGATATGAATATGTGCGTGCAACAATATGTTTTGTGTAACAATTTTAATCAGAGTCCGAATTTCGTTTTAACTGCCCATTCCAATGTAATGTGTCATTTCTTGGAACTTCTTTTATTTTTTCTATTAAATTTTGCTGTACAATTAGATTAGATAGATTTTGAAAGGGTCGGGAACTATGTCACCACGTCATTACATTCTTTGAGGATTATTGTGAAAAACCCACTTTATTTCCACTGTTATCTAATTCCGATAAAAGTGAATAGGCAGTTAATAAGTACCGAAGGCTAAGTTCTGGTGTTTCCTCTTCTTTCTGGCAAAGTCTGCAGCTATCGTCTCTTCTAATACCTAGATTCGATAGATGCTTTTTGACTCCGCAATGTCCAGTAAGAAATCCTGCAACAAGTCGGAAGCCTTTTCTGTTCAGCATTAGTAACTTCTTAGTTCTGGTTTTTGATCGACTTGGCATGAATTTTTTAGCTTGTCTAATCCCAATATTACGTGTATATTTTAATGCAGTTTTAATATTAATAATAGTAACCGAACGTTATATTCACTTTCTCATTTTCCACCTGATATTTCACCTTAATTATAATATGTTCTAAAACCAAAATTCGCCAAAAAAGGAGATTTGCGAAAAAAGTAAAGAAACTAGTTGCTATCATCTAAATTAATCACAATTAACAGTTCTAAAATCATATTGCACCTCATTTTCATATAAAATTTCAAAATCTCTTCCATTTATCCTAATATACACAAGCAACTAAAAAGCATTTTTTTGATGATTGGTATATGGGGTCAAAATTTCTTATTATCGCTACTCTTTCTAAGTTTGTGGTGAGATTTCAAACCATTGCATTATTGCAGCTATCTTCATTTCTTGGATCCTGGACATTTTTGTGTACTGACAAACCTATATATAATACCTCTATATATATTATAGAGCACTTTATAAAAGATTACAAAATACAATATCAGTATTTATTAAACTTGTAAGCACTTTTTTCACTTATAATTAAAGTCCGAGTCCTTTATTTATTGTATTATATGTTATATAAGTAATATATATATATTTATTTACATTTATATGTACAAACTTTAGATGCCCGTGATTATGAACAAAAATTGTTATATCTGCAAGGATTGAATAACCTTCAATTAGGCAACGTAGCGAATTACTTGGATCCAATTGTAAAAGACGAAAATGAAAATGAGGATATTAAATTTCAGGCAGCTTGGACAACACTTTCTTTAGCACAAGAAAGATCTAAATCAGTAAAATCTATTTAAAATTAATATTATATTTTTTAAAACATCTGTTTTTAGATATACGAAATTTATTGGCCAATTTTTGAATCAAAAAATGCTAGCTTGGAACTACGTGTCACAGCAGTTACCTTGCTTTTGGTTTCAAATCCGACAGCTGCTCGTCTTATAAGCATACATCGTATTATACAAAGTGAAACAGATTTACACTTAATCAACTACTATCGTACAACTGTAACTAGCATATCAGAAACCACGTATCCATGTTATCAAAATCTGTAAGCTACTTTAACAATTAAATCAATCAATTAAATCAATCAAATCAATAATAATATACATCTCTTAATTTGAAGGCGTCGTTTGTTGTCTTACATGCAGCGACATTTACCACAAAAACCCGAACCACGTTATTGGGTAACCGGTAATTATATTTTTGATTACCGTGACTCGAAATATGGTATAGGTGCCATGTTACAGGCATTTTTAGTTGGTGATCCGAAATCAGATTTACCGATTGTGGCCTATTTAAAATTTGATACGGAAGCTTTAGGAAAATTTACAGGTCAATTAGGTGTAAGTCATTGTCTTCAATTAATAATTAATTTTCATTAATCTAATGTTTTTATGTTAGTTATATATCAAAGCTCGTGGATTACCAGATGCATTTTTTGATAAATTTTTTAAAAATATTACTGATTCGTTTAAATTTGAAAATATTAAACATTTGCTTAATTTAATGAGTGCGCCAATAATCCGTAACAAAACCCTACATCTGGAATTTATTATACAAATGGAGGGTAAAACTGTATTATCTTATTATGTAAATCAAAATACTTTTCAAAAGATGACATACATTGATCGTAAGCAAAATACAATTATTATACTCCATAATAACATGAGTTCAACAATAGTTTTATATTCACAGCTTTGAATCGTATTAGTTCACTTATACGTGCAGACAGCCATATCAATATGCAAACAGTACGTTGGCCTTTTATGACAAAATATGTGGTACCCACAGTGTTAGGGACTACAGCAGACGTCTTACTGCAAACCACTGTGCTAACATCATTACGTGGTAATATAACACAACATCGCACAAATAATGTTACGAAGTCGGCACTCGAAATCGATGCGAGGTACTCTTCCTACTCATCATGTCGCAGTCGTAGCTATAATCCATTTCTTAATTTAAATCATGAAATTAATCGCGAACAGGGCTTCCTTATATATGTACCCTTTAACAACGATTTTAATATCGATTTCACTAATAAATGTGTAAAATATTCCTTTAAACGTCCTGAAAACCTAACAAGTGGACTATCATTTAAATCACGCTCTGTTACATCCACACGAGGGTTTATTACTAAAAGTGCCAGTCAGCCTTTTGAGGAAATTATGTACCCAGAAAGACAATATGATGTGGTTAGTTAATTTTCAAATAGAAAGGTTTTGAATATTTTCAAGAAATTCTATATTATTTATAGTATCAACCGTTTAAATATGACACTGCTGACTTGGGCATATCGGTGACTGTCAATACCAATCTTAATGAACTGAACAAATATCGTGGAATGCTGTTAAAATCTGAATTTATGGAGAAGTACAATAATTTTACACCGCTATATTTTTATTAAATTCACATTTTATTTTTCTTCAGTGGATTTTCGCGGAATATGATTATAAATTTCATTATGTACGTCTTTGGAGTTGCACAGCTGAGCTCTATACATTTGGGGCATGATCGCAATTTTACAATGTTGGTATATAATGAAAAGTTAACAAAGGTATTTATTATCTTTCATTGATTTCCGTTGTATTTGATTTTGACATATTCCTTACAGATTGAAGGCTCAATATGTTTTAATGATATATTAAATACATCTGATAAAAGTGCGAAACATTTAAGCTTCACCCTTATGCATTCGAATGACCTTCAAACAAATGAGATTTTACATAAGTGGAATATTACAATGGATGTACATTCGTCGACAAAAACGAATTGGTTCGAAATAGACGGAAAAATAGAACGAACTTCAAAAATGGATGAACATGACTGGAAGGTATTATTTGACAACAATTTTGCATTTTTATTTGTTAAAAACCAATTAATTAATTTAGTAACCTTACAAAATTATTAAATATGTTATTGCAAACATTACAAACAATATGAAATTATACATAGCACCTCTGCATAAATACTCCCACTCCTTTGATGTTATTTTTATGTTTTGAATGTTATTATTTTGATACTTTTTAATTTTGATTTTGATGAAAGGTAACACATTATTCCTCTCCACCAGTAGCTTCTAATTCCTGTTCAGCGTTTATCAATTGTACTATACCATCTTGCAAGCTCTTAACTAATTCAAATTCGGTGGAACCTAAGCGTTTAACGTTTGAAATGTCCATTACACCATCTTCAATAGCTGTATGTTCACCACCCGTACCACGTATCTGCAAAGAATACTCCTCAGCCAAAGCATTAAGACGTGATTCAGTTTGTGATAGATATGGCAAGCGAATATGTACAGATGCACGTAAAGTTGTACCCACATTTGTTGGACAAGCGCTAAGGTAACCATAACGTGGATGACGTACAAATTCAAGTGATCTTTCGAGTGCCTGAATACCAATGACTAAACGATTATAAACGTCGCCTGCGAAAACGAAGCAATTAATATTAATAATATGAGATTGCGCATATTTTACACGTTCTTACCAATATCACCACATTTAGCCATGGATATAATACGTAAGTGATCTTCCTCATTCACCCAAACCAAAAAAGTTTCAGCTGGATTATGGAAAATACCTCGACCAGTAGGCCAAAAGCGATAAGCACCAGCAGATTGTAAAAATTTATCACCACGCTTGAATAAAATATGACGTTCCACCATTTCAGCTTGCATGTCTGCGTCTAAATCACTCATTGAAAAATAAGCACCAGCCAATTCACCATCAAGAACTTCTACAGCTTGCTTTACTTTCTGCTCAATATCAATATATTGCTTCTCGCGCAATTTAGGGAAAAATGGATAACCAGCAATGTTACGTGCAGTACGTATGCGAGAAGATAAAATGTATTTACGTTCTGGGTCCAAATTTTCAACTTCCTCCCTATTGCCCCATTCAACATCTGCTTGTAGAGCTGCAGCATCATTCTCCATCATTCCATGATAGTCCTTTACAACAGAATCAAAAAGTTTTGGATACTTATCGTAACACTCCGCATCAGCTGCATATACACCAACAAGAGAATCATGATATTCGAAACCACTTTGACAACAATCAATTAGGTTAGCTTCAGTTGGAGCTGTTGTTGTAACAATCATATATTCATCAAGTACTTCACGAGTTAGGTATTTGCGCAACAATGATTCTGTGTAATCTTCATCTTCTACAAGCTTCTTGAAGTGCTCCTCGAGTTCTTCAGTAAGTTCTTCAGGAGATTTTTTGCTACAGAAAATAATTTTTTTTTAAATAAAAGAATAGAAAAAAATAAAAGAATATACGTACACATTTAAATATCTAGATATACCTATAATATTCTATAAAATATTGGTGCGCTTATAATTCTCTATGCGACAAATAAGTGTTTACTATACTATTTCCCATGAAAATGGTTTCATTATTATATTTTTGCAATAATAGACTATTGCAAAGTCTATTATTTCAAAAATCATTTTGGACTGCGTTAATGAAAAAAATTTTAATTTAAGACTAAGCACTTTTCCTATATCTTCATTTAAAAGAAGACAGTTCATTCCTTGTCTTTATGGTTTAAGATAGTGCTTTTTTTATTCAAACCCATGTAATTTTATTAATAATTCCAATTTAGTGTTGGATATTATTATATATTGGCAATCCTCGTAACAGCATTGTATGTATGGTCAACCAAATTTCAATAAATTATTGTCTTTTTCTTTTCTTTGCTATTCGAATCCGCCCAACATTTAACTTTTCTGCTTGAATACAAATCGATTTGCTAGTCAAAAAAATGTAAGATGTGTTTGTTATCGATATTTTTATTATTGTAACCAGTTGTGGATGCTTCCAGATGCTTCTGAGAGTCAAAAAATTGAACAGCTCATCTAGTCTTTCAGGGGAATAGGACAAGTACATAATGCTGGATTCACACGAGAATTTTGTTTGTAATTTAAGCTGTCAATTGTTGTTGTAATTTTTGACAGCTAAAATTACAAACAAAACTCTCATGTGAATCCAGTATAATGGGAGTAGGATTTTGTAGAGGGAAGCAAGTTAAAAAGAAAGGAAAAGTAATGAGGTATAGGTAGATTGAGCTTAGCCTGTTTTAAAAATAATGAACCTTGCCACCTCGATAGCACAACCACAAAGTACAACTATAGTTTTTGACACACATCAAAAAAAGATAAATTAATTTGTGATGAGTAATACTGACCGTACATGTAGCTAAGGGGGGGAGGTAAAACTCTCAAGGTGTCACAAATTAATTTATCTTTTGCCGAAAACTGAAGCTAAAATTATTCATTTGTTCAATTGTCTCAAAGCAAAGCATTAATTTACCAGTCACTATGTTTATTCCTATATAAAAAATCCTATCTCCATGCGAACTTAGTTCAGCTAGCTTTGCATCATTAGCACTGTGTGCGATCTTCGAAATGAATCGTAGAACTATGGCATATATTATTAAACAATGATGAAATTAAACATAAATTAGTGATATCCCTTCATTCCTAAGTTTAATTTCGGGCTAAGGGTCTCACCCTGACCTTAGTTGGGTAAGAGTAAATCTTAGATTTAATTATGGATTAATTACAAATTTTTTAATAGGTAAAAGGGGTTTTTATTTGTCAATATAGCCAATATTTAAAAATTATGTTAAGTATTATATTAAATATCTAGATTCGACTTAGAAAATTGGGTTTTTATTGTAGTCAGTCATATTAGTAACGTTTAGCATTACGTTATGATATTGTGTGTTATGATTTTTTGCATTGGATCTTATATTTAATAACCCATATTTGATAAATATCCCAAAAATACTCCACATACTCCACAAGACACCAATTAGCAATTTCAATAAACAATTCATAATAATCATGTTTCAGTAAGAAAGTTTGAAATTTAAAACTTAATTTCTTACTGTTGTCGTTATGAATATAAATGTGCCTAGTAAGTTTTGAAGTAATTTAAAATTTTTTTTTTACAAAATATATTGGCCAATCTAATTATGTCTTAGACATTAGACATAATAATTATGTCTTAGATAATCAGCAGTTGAACACCAAAGTCATTATTTAATCTAATTTATACATTAAAACATTTATACAAATAAAATCAGGTATTTCTCCCTCCAATAATAAGTTAATAGCTACTCATAATAGATTTCAATTTTGGCAAATATTAATTTGCAATAATAATTCAATATTTTTGCAATATTGCATTATAGATATACAAATATGCAAATCTCTTACTAATACTTACATTTGACTACGTAAACGTTCCAATTCCTGTTCCAGCTTAAAAATGGTAGACTTTGATTCATCCAAATCAGATTTCAATGCATCGAACATATCATCATCTGGGCAACTTTCACACATATATTTTCGAACAAAACGTATAGCATCCTCGGGCTTATTTTGTTCTTCATAGAGTTTAATTAGTGCCTTGCTCAACGCGTCAATGACGCCTGCCCTCTCCAAGTATTTACGATACTGTACACGTTTTGATTCAATCTATGCCAAGATTTGAAAGAAAAAATATTTTAATTACGCAAATCATAATTTAAATTAACATTAATAATTACCGAAGACATTTTCAATTATTTGTAACTTTACCAATTTTTTAATTTTTTTTGTCTACAACAACAATATTCTTAATATCCCAAACGAACTATTGTTGTTCACTCTATTTCGGAACATATGTTTATATTTCAAAAATATTTTGAAATTATTTTGTAATAGTATTTTATATGTCAAACATTGCTTCTAGGATTGCTGAGACTAATTTTATAATTTAACTGAAAAATATTGATCAAACAGAGTTTTCTAGTTTTCTAGTTTTCTTAGCACTGTTGTGTTTTTGGTTTTAGTTGGCACAGCAATATTTTTATAAACCCCCCACAAACGTAAACAATTAAAAAGCGCCTTGCCAGGATATAAACAGAGAAAATGAAAAAAATAATAAACGTCCAAAATATATAAAATATGGCAACTTTGTTTTTTTATTATTTTACTTTTTGTTTATTACACATAACATTAGTTAAAATAATAAAAAAATAATTATGTAATAATAATAATTATATAATTAATTAATTAAGTTAAACAATTAAAAATAAAATATAATTAATTAATTCAATTATTCTACAGCTGGTTTATGATTTCATTCTAATATAAATACAGCAAGTAAAATTGTTAAAAAAAACTTTCATAGCAAAAGTAGCAAAACTTCAGAAAAATGTGCAAGTGTGTAAATTGTATAACATGTTTCAAATTGTATAACATGTTCCCACTGGCTTCATTAAATCAGTTAACTTACTTGAGATTGCTTAAATGACTTGAATCTCAAGTTCATGTTGAATCTTTTTCGAGTTAGTGCATCTGAGCACTTTTACTCTTTGATAGCTGGGGGGTTTCTGCAGAGTCCCACCCTTTCCACTGACTAATTTAATTATTACTCAAAGCTTCGTAATTATTCGATGACTGATATGAGATCTGCGTACCGCCCCGTGCGACTAGAGATTATTCTGAGATCAGATAGTGCTAACTAGGGCAGCCTGTTCGTTTTCACGAATAGTTTCAGGGTTCTGTCCCTTATATATTTTTTGACCAGGTCTATTTTAAGATATCTTAGCATGTCATTTGTGCGGATATATCAGGACACTTTGAAGAGTCTTCAGAGGGCCTGACTTAGAGCAAATTGCAGCTTCTAGATAGTAGAAATGGCAACTTTACTACATGCGATACACCCATAGAGTAGTGCTGGTTTGATTATCTGGCTGTAGATCAGGTTTCTGTTCTTCACACTAAGGTTATTGTGTTTGAAAAGTGATTGTAAGCAGTGCAATGAATTGCGCAACTTCTTCGTTTGACTTGTATGTGCTTGTGCCAAGTGAACCGCTAATCAAAAGTGATTCCCGGTATATGATGCTGTCCTCCCAATTAATCGCAATTTCACCAACTCTCATTTCGGTGGACGCTGCCTGTGTTTACAGGGCCTTAGTTTCTCGTAAGTTAACTGCTCTAACGAAGCCAGTGAAAACGCACTATTAAGTTAACGTGTGCAATTAAAGACTGGTTGCAGCGATGATTTCTACATGGATATACAATGTACAATCGATATATGTAAAATTTCGTAATAACTTTAAAGTTGCAGAGTTCTTAATGCTTAATTTATATTTATTTTCGTTTGATTTTCTGGATGGAAGCTCAATTTTTTAAATAGTTATATTAAATAGTATTAATAGTATTATTAGTATTAGTATTAAATAGTGTTAAATAGTTAATAATAGTTAAATAGTTAATAATAATAGTATTAAATAGTTAAATAAATCCAATCACTGATCCTCTTATCACATTGCGATATTCGTTAAATATAAGTACCTAACATTGTATCTTTTATGTGGAGTTTTACATTAATTTTCTAAAACCTTTCCTAAAACAAAAATGAATAGAGAACTATAGTAGTACTTTAGTATCGACTCGAAGTGAATTGCTTTACCCTTTTTCTAAAACTAGTGTTAGAAACGTTTACCATAAAAGCATTGTTTAAATATTAATATGTTGTAAAATCATATATTTAACAAAATGTTTTCTTTTTAATTTTCGTAAATAAAAGGCTTGTGTTGGTGTTAACTATTTGCCTATAATATTTGCCAAACGACCACATACATTACATGGAGAGATTCTCTTCGGGAATGTTTCAACAGAAGGGGAGTGCCCCGTTAATGCTTCAAAAGTGACATTCTCAACACGAGCTGGTGTAAGCAAAAGTTATAAATTAATACATTTTTTGTTTATAGAATTTTATATTAAATAAACAATTTTTGAAGCCTTCAGAGGAGGCGCGTAAATTCCTGCTTTCAGATAATCCGTTAACTGACACGAATTTTTGTCCAAAGGAAGTGCTTAAATTTAGTCCAATACCAACATCAAAGTATTGTAAACGTAGCAATTTTGAAAACTTCACATCCATTACACAATATAACATGGACTTGGACTTTACAAATGTATGTTTAATTGGTATTACTATTATTATTTTTAGTGTACAATTCGATTAATGTTTTAGATGCCAGAGTGGTTTAATACTTATTCCACACGATTAGACCATTTTATATCAGCTTTATCAGACAGAAAAGTGGATAGCTTGAATATGAACAAAGAAATACACACATCTGTCAATACGCCAACAGATTACTTCTGGTTGACAGTTGAAGTGAATGGCGTCAATTGGCGTATATATCATATACCTTTTCTACAAAAAATCGATTCCAAATATGATACGTCACATGAATTGTTTTATGATTCAGGTTTAAAGCGTGAGTATGACAATTTAAGGCACTACAATTATATATTAATTTAAATTTTATTTATAATTGACCATTCTGATCTGAAGGTTCCTGTTCAGTTATAAATGGCATGGTAAATTCTTTCGATGATTACTTAATAAACATGGTGGAGTATCATAATAAAATCACTGTTGCTGAAAATTGTTACATACTCTTAGCGGCTGATTGTTCACCAATGCCAGAAATAGCTATATTTCTGATACCATCAGAAGACGCAGACTTGAGCGCAAACTATGGCTTAAGAGTGCATATTGGTAACAATTATTTCACATTCAAATCAAGCAATGGTTCTATATTGGAAAATGAGCCAGTCTACATAACACTAAATGATGAAGATACATCGATTGATATTCGAAAACAGCCTTATGAATATCCCACAAACTCAGATTTTTATGAATTTCGGTAAGAAAATATATTTCTTTAGATAATACAATATGTGTTATTAATAATTTTCATATTAAATTTATTGCTTAGTGTCGAAGTTAATGAACAAAATATACTAATTGTCGAAAATAAGCAAATGCGCTCCACCATACAATTTGATATGCTGAATATAATAAACTTCGAAATTTTTGGGGTTTATAAGAACAAGATGTGTGGATTATGCAGCAAACCACTAAATGTTATGCAGAATTATACACTTTGTATGTAATGGACTTCAGCAGCTTGTATCTTATTAATATATATATGAAAAAAGAATAATTAAAATTAGTCAAGGAAATGTTTACCAAATTTATGTTGTTTTCTTTTACTTGAAAAATTTTTATTAATGGATATCAAATACAAAAAAGGCAAAAAAATTTATAGTTTATAACTTGAAGTTAATCGTTCCGAATATTATTTTCACAAAACAGGTATGTATTTATATGTTAACTAAGATCTTATAACGTGCACAGAAAAAACTTGACGTCGATAAGCTGCAAGCTCGAGAGACAGCCGATTACTGAGCTAGTTTCAATTTCAAAACTCATCACCAATTTGTCCAAACACTACTCCTCTTTTCGTAGCTTCTTACGTTAATCTATATCAACAACTAAACTTACCCATCATCCCATCCATCCGGTGGGTCATTCGAATCATGTAATATGTCATATACTCCTTTCAAACTTTACACTTACTTTTACATGTACAATTACATGTTTCTGATTAGCTTCAGGATATCAGGATATTACAAACAACTCAACTAAAGAAAGGACTCAAAAGTTCTCAACCTGTTGTGCTTTCATGTAACTTAAAAGAGAAAGTTGCCAACAGTTTATAGTGGCATCGAATCACAATGGTATAGATGCTTTATTGACGAAAATTCCTTAATCAGCTTTAAGGAATCAATGCGCGAAATTTACTACTATATACTGCATTTCACCTCAAAATTCGTAACATTTTTATATATGTATATAAAATATAAATTTATTGTACTTCTTTTTTATATAATATTAATTTAATTATAGATTTAAAATATACATAATAACAAAATATATCTTATATATATAATTCTTCTGTACGTGTGTTGACAGTGAACTCCTCCTAAACGGCTGAACCGATTTTGATGAAATTTTTTGTGGGTGTTCAAGTGGATTCAAGGAAGGTTTAGATTCACAATTTGGCCCACTGGATAATGTCTTTTTAATTAATTTTTTATTTTTTGGTATCCATACACATTTATATTAGAAATTTAAAATTTATTCATGCTTACTTTGATTTGTTTAAAAAGTTTAAAATCTTTAAAATGAATCGTAAAACTGCCGTTGCATTAAATGTCTAATATAAATGTATATGGATACCAAAAAACTGTATAATAATTAAAAAACCGTTATCCAGTGGACCAAATTGTGAATCTAAATTATAGTTGAATTCACTTGAATACACACAAAAAAAATAATGCCACGTCTTCGTGGACGAGGAGCAAATATTGGTCGACGGAGTCGGAATTCACAATTACTCTAGAACCGTCGGTTAAATAGATCGGCAGAAAACAATGAAAATGTAAGAAACCAGGATACAATCACACGTACTAATGAAAGTCAAGAGCAACGCAAGGAACGCCAAGAAAATTAATTGCAAGGGGAAACAACGTTCGCTGGGTCAGCTAGTATATACATATATTCTTTACAAATATAAATGACTTATTTAAAATTGTTGAAGTTTGAAGTAAATGCTTTGTGCTTGCGATAAAAATTCACCTACAAAACTATTTTGATTCCACCACACAATTATATTGATTCCCCACATCTTATTTTATATCAAAAAAATAATAGCAAATTGAAAGTGAGCATATCTACATTTCCTTTTAAATTTAGGCAAAACCAAAAAGTTCCAAGAAATAGTTAAAATACAAGATTGGTGATACTGATACTAAGTCTACACCACAATGCATTTCCGGCATAACCCAAAAGAGCCAATTTTGTAGTGCCCGAGACGCTTTACATAACAGAGCTCTAAGCGAATCGTTGGGGACAATAAGTTCACCTATTGAGAAGTTCGTGGTGAGTTAGCAATTTGACATAAGCGATTGAGAATGTTTACATCAGAGAATACCTTTCAAGGAACGAAAACTCCGCCTACGTTGACCGTAACGAGAAGAAATTGCTAAAGAAAATTTATTTTTTATAACATTTTGACACACGTAGTGAATACATGTGACCTTACCACGATATCACCAAATTCTTCACTTTTGCGCTTGCAGTATAATAATTTTTAGTACTTGCTAATCATACTCGTGCGTACCCTATTTGAATTCATACCTTATTAACACCTTATATCGTATTCAGTAAACAAAATATAAAAAAATATGTAAATGATTACATATGTAGTGTGTTACTTTATTATACTGAACTACAACAACAAAAATTATTTTTGTATTATTTTAATTAATTGAATTTTTGGCTGATCAGCTATTTTGAATATTGCCAAATACCAATCATTTATTATATTTAATTATTCGTTAATGTTTAAAAAATAAACATTGAGGTCGACACTAATACATTATTCGTTCATGATTTTTTCGGATTTCATTTACCAAGGGTTAAACTCGTGCCCTGACAAATCCAAAGCTCAGAGTCAGTGTTCATTAGTCAACTGACACAAAGTTGTGTATGTATATGTATATATTTTTTTAATATTTACCTCACAGATGGCGAATTTAATTTATATATTTATACTAAAATAAAACAGAAATAATCATGCAAATATATTAGGAGATTTACAAAATTCAAATACCTTTGCTTATAACCAGGTTTTGCTCACTCAATACCAACAATTTTTAATAGTTCTACACATACAAATCCACTATCATTTGAACTGAAACAAAACTGTATAGAATATAATTCTCACCATATAAAGTTCAAGTCGAGTTGAAATTTCTACATACATATATGATTCTACTATAGGTTGATAAAAAAAAAACAATCTTGTATTAACCCATTTGAAGCTCAACCTATTAAAGTAAATTATACAAAGTACAATTAATTTTTACTTATTCAATATATACATACATAATAAAATAATATAAAGTGAACCAAACTGTATAGAATACAATTCTCAGCATATAAAGTCAAAGTCCTATTAAAAGTTCTGAATGTATGATTCTACTTTAGTTTGGTAAAAAACAATATAATTCAAAATTCAATTTATAATTTATAACCTATTTTAACCCATTTAAAGCTTAAGTAACTTTACTAATTATATAAGTGCGATTATATTACCTATTAAAATAAATTATACAATATATAATTAATTAATACTAATTCGAAATATATAAAAACAAAAAAGATCTAAAACAAAACTGTATAATACTGTATGATGAGAATACAATTCTCACCATATGAAGTCCAAGTCGTGTTAAAAGTTCTGTATGTATGATTCTACTATAGTCTGGTTTCAAACAAAATTATATAAAATCCAAATTATAATGCATAGCCTATTTTAACCCATTTAAACCTCAGGTATTTTTATTAATTATATAAGTGCGACCCTATTACATATTAAAATAAATTATACAAAGTATGATTAATTTACACTCATTCAATATATATAATTCTATGTCTACAATTCTAATACGGTTTAATTTCAGCCAATAATATAAAGAGTTAAGTTTATATAGTGCAATTTCAACCATATTAAGTCAGAATCGTTTTACACTTACGATTACACGCCGATTTTATTTAATGCAAACCTGTACATAAGTCATTTTTTTTAATGTATAAAGTTGGACTATAGATGTCGCCCTTGTTTTTGAATTGTCTTACCTCATTTTTGTTTGGAGCTCTTTACAAACGCATACATAATGGAGGAAGCTATTTATCAGGATTGCAAATATTTTATTGACAGTTTCATAAATGCGGGCGATTATAGTTTCGCTGGTTTTTCGATGCAATGGCGTTTGCAGAACATGAAGCAATTAATTAAAGAGAACATCCCAGAGGTAGATACAATACAATCAATCAACTGCATTTATAATTTTGCTTGTAAATGCATGGGTGGCAAAGCAGTTTGGAGTTCGAACGAATCAATGATAGAAAAGCAGCGTATTGGGGCAATATTTCTATTATATGCTACATATGTAACACAAGGTAAAAATATTGTTAAAATTAAGTTAACTGCGCAGCTGTACAAAGCTATGATGACATTTTTCATGTCATTACCGCAAAACCAAGTTCGACAAGAATTACAATATGTAGCTGGAAAATTGATACAATGCGGAGCCTTTCGATTTTGTCTGCTTGACTTCCAAGCTGGACTTGACATTTTTCCAGCTATTAATTTAAACAATGTATGTGAAGTATATACCGCTGGTGATTTAGAAGATTTTGAGATGGAATACAATGAATATGCTCAATACATGGAACTTGTATTCATATTGGTCGGTATCCTTAGTAGACTTAGATGCAGTTTAAATTCATCTATGGGGTCTAATTATTTTTCAACCAAAATAAATGACCAATTTATTGCATATATGAAAAAATTCGGGGAAACATTAAAACTTGCTAAGGATGCAAAACTAGATTGGGAAAAAAATGAAAATCGTGACAACATATTTAAGAAGAATATATATCATTCAGAGAAAAATAATGATGATTTACATATTGAAGACGTGTCTACCTCGAATACAACATCAGGCCATAACGGTATACATATTCGACGTAAAGGAAACTATGAAGGACGTCAATCAGTAATAACAATGTTTAAAGAGCCAGAAGCAGATTGGATAAAAGAAGAATATAATAAAAATAACTAAAATTAAGATAAACACACCAATTAAAATACAAATAATGAAAAAATAATAATTATTTTCTTATTATCATTTATTTAAATATCTTTTCAAAAAAAAAATAAGAATTTCTTCAAATGAATTCATATTATATATATGGTGATATTATTTATATAATTATATGACAAAATATATTGTTACGTAAAAATTTTTTTTAAATAAAATAAATAACGAAATCTTAAAATGTTTTACATGAGCTAACTCAATCATACATAGGTATAATATAATATACATATAATATATAATATATATTATATTATATTATATAATATACATATTATATTATATAATCTTCCGGTAAATTAAGTTATATATTTATATTAAAATGCTGAAATTAATAACAATGAAAAACATAATCCTTACATAAATTATATTTTTTTATTTATATTAAATATAAAGTTATCACTCCAATACAAGTAATAAGATACTTTATCCACCAAACCACACTATATTTAAAAAATCCTCAAATACAATTACTTAAGTCATTAAGTCATTCCCTACTTAATATAACTGATATCAAATACGAATTATAATTTCTTCATGTAACCCAGAAGCACAATTAGCAGAACAAATAAATAATATATAAAATATAATTTAAATAATTTTATTAAATAAACAATAAATATTAAACAATAAATATCTACAACAGATATTTAAAAATGTTTTAATTAATAATAATGTGGTAATACTGAAGTACCCCATATATCTCAAAAGTATAACGAAAAAATTATGAGGATCAATTTTGGACTACTTCATAAAATTGTATTTAGGCCGTGTGCGAGTTTGAGTAATAGTAAATAGTAAATTATATATATGGAAACAAAATTCTGTTGTATAGTTAATTGAGAATTTTAATATATTTGCTTGTTATATAATTATATGTACTTACATAATTAATTACATAATTAATATTAATATATATTAAAATATTATGTATTTACTACAGTAACATAAGATTTTAAATAGTTTCTTTTCGTCATAAAGTTACCTCACTCTCGGCAAGAAAAATTTAACATTAATTTTTTATCTTTAATTACAGCTTAAATTTAACAAAATTCTTAAAATAATTTAATTTCTGAACTTATTTATTATCGAAAGCTATTTTAATTTAATTATTTATTTTTTGGAATATATTTTCGTTCAACCATATTAATAACACGGCCGAAATATTTTTTTCACATAAATTATAATTATGTTTACTTAGCACATTAGAAATGGCGTTATATGATCGTGACACTGAAACTTGTGTTGATGGAACCGCTAAAGCAACTGCTACCAATTCCTTTAACTGCTCTGGTACTATTGCTTTATGCCAATATTTTAATACATCAGTATCAAGTGGTTTCCGAAGGTTGTTGGTCATCATATCCAAATGGCGAGATATATCATTTTCCTCACTTGTTTCCACATTCGTCGATGAAAACAGCGACATTTCTAGATCGCTATATTTTGAATGCGATGAAATGGATGGCAGTTCATGTTGATCACCTGTTGCATTATTTGTCCGATCAATTTTACTACATTTACTAGTATACGATTTGATTGCAGAACCTAGTTTCAAAAGGTGCATCTAAAATCAAAAGTATATACATAATTAGACATTAAAAGTGATGGTAATCGTATGGAAGTGAGTAATTATATATTGGAAAAATATATTTTTTACCTGTGCACGTTGTTTTTCTTCTTCAGTCAACATAGTTGAGCCATAGAAAGTGAACCTGGGGTCTAAATATAAAGCAGATAAAAAGGCATTATTTTTCAATAAAGTTTTCCTCCTTCTCTGCAAAGATTCATATAAACAATTTGCCATCTGTATTCTGCATAGAGATTTCAGGTTAAATTCGCAATTAAGAAGATCTCTATAAAAGTCTCCGACTATGCATTGTTTCTGCTGTAGTTGTTTCGTAAAAATTGATAATGGTTTGAATGATTCGGCGAAATCTGAACAAAATTCCCAATCAATATTTTTTATATTGGGAATATTTAGAATATTTGTTTTATGACTTATGACGAAATTTATCATGTCATAAGTTGAATTCCAATTTGTTACGACATCAAGCGGTGGCATACTAATTGATGAATATTCTTTATTATTTCCAAAATATGTTCTGATTGATTTTATTATGTCGCGGTGCTCCCATATTTTTATTGCCACAGTACGGATAACATCATTTGCAACAAGCTGGAGCGTATGTGCAGCACATCTAACTGGAGATAAAACTCCTACAGATTGAAGCATATCCATTTCCATTTCATTGTCGATATCAGGATTTTCAGTTTCGCTATCATCAAGTTCTTGTTCCATTCCTTGTAATTTTATACCTTTTACAATGTTGGCACCATTATCAGTTGTAACAGAGTATAGCTGGCTAATTTCTATATTGAAATTTTGTAGGCATTCTAATATTTGTTCTTTTAAAAATATAGATGTATGCACTTTCTTTAATTCAATGGCACCTACAATATTATATTTAAAAAATAATTTAGTAATAATTTTTTTAAATCTCTATATATATATACAGTCGAAATCGTTTACAACGACATCACTTAATTCAACCAATTACTTAGTAGAACGAAATTATAAAAAATCCCGATAATTCGCTCATACTAATCTCTACAAAATAAATTCTTTTACAACGAATCGCTTAAATGGACCAGTCTTTTACAGTGATATATTTTTCTATAATTTAGGTTTTTATTATCGGTTCCAACGACGATTAATTAATATACATATACACGTATTACAATTACATCGCTTTTGCACGTCAAGCATTTACATATATTAGAATGCCTGAGGGAGAACACTATTAAAAAAAACGCATCCGTCATTCAACAATGGAAAAATTGGAGGAATGCCTTTTGAAATGACTTAAAAAATAAAGAAATATTAATATTGCAGTCTATGGCCCAATATTAAAAGCTCAGGTTTAGACTTTTGCAACCAAACCTGAAATATTGATATCTTGGATTCAACGACACGAAATTATTTTTGGTAAATTGTGCGGCGGACGTAGTGCTGTACCGGTCAGAGTTACTGAAGAATGGTTGTACAGTATTTGGCCTCAACTCTGCGTAGAGTACTCCGTTCACAATATTTTAAATGCTGACAAAAATAACATTTTTTTAATTTAACACTGATTAACAGTTTTAAGTTCAAAGCTAAAAAATGCTCAAATGGAAAATTATTAAAGGATTGACTGATTGTCTGGAATATCAAAAAAGCGTCTTTAAGAAAATCGAAAAGTCCAAGATGTCTTAAGAACGTTCACCATTTACCGGTTGAATACGAATACAATACAAAAGCATGGATAACAACAAGAGTTTTTGAGAAATGGTTAAGTGATTGGGATAGTAGTCGGTAACTGTCCTGCTCATTGTCATGTTAAAGGTTTAAACTCAATAGCTTTTTTGCCACCGAACGTTACATCAATACTACATCCAATGGATAAAGGCATAATACAATCATTGAAGACAAATTGTCGAAATCAATAAATTTTAAAAATGTTACAAAACATTGATAATTTAATGAAATTAAATGTTTTAGATTTTAAAGTTAGAAACATCATGGAATGACCCACTACAATTTGAAAATGTTTTCAGCATGCCGGTTTTATTGAAGCTCCATTACAAATTGAAAGGAATACAATATCTTGATCGTCTGGTATGCCAACACATGCTTTTGTCAAGGATTTCGTTGAAAATCTCGCAGGCGTTGATAATAACCTTCATATATGCGAGGTATATAACAACGATGATATTTTAACATCTACTACAGCTGTACAAGGTGAATGTGAAGCGAATAGCAATAATACACCCTTTGAGTGTCCTCAAATAGTTAGTTAAGGCCTACGAAGCGGTTGAAGTATGGCAAAAATATTTATTATTTAATGAAATTTCAAATAAATATTAAAAAGTCTACATTAAATAGTCTATCTCATATAAGAAATGAGCTCAATTTAAAATTTATTAATTCAAAAATTAATGTTCAATCGGAAATTAATGATATTTTTTTTTATAAAGCATCAAGATTTTATCTTGAGTTTACATTTTATTTTTATTTTCTCATAGAAACAAAAGGTACAAATAACATTTCAATTTAAACTGTTTCACTTTTAAATGAGAATATGAGAATGAGAATTTATTAAAATATTGCTTACAACGACTATCGGTTATAGCGATTTATTTCTGCCGGTCCTTTGGTGATCGTTGTTAACGATCTCCATGTATTGTCATTAATTTATGTTTAATTCGCATTTTTATAAGGTTTAATATAATATGTAATATAATGTAACACATTACATTACATGCATCTGAATACAATTTAATATACATATGTGCATGGAAGCCCAACTTCCATAACTCGAACATCTATAACTCGAATTTCTCGACAAATCAAACTAAAAAGAGTGCAACAGGGTTTTAGAGAGCAAATTACATACAATTCTGCTTCCTTAACTTAAAATTCTACAACTCGAATTTATCTATAACTCGAATAAAAATATTGTCACGTGTCCACATAATAGTGGATCCGATACTAAACGCAACGGAATGTGTGATGAGGGTTCGGTGCATGAGATTGTTCAACAGCCTTCCAAGAATGAAGTAGAAGATTCATTCAAAATTCTAAAATTTTATTTGCAAACGAATGATACTACAACTGATGATCACTATAAGAGTTTAAATAAATTGGAATCTTTTTTTACTGAAAATAAGCAAAAAAAAATTAAAATCCCAAATCCTAATTTCTGAATATTTTACTTCACTATAACTTCTATATAGCAATTGATTGTAAATAAATAAATATCTTAATATAGGTATAATTTCTTTCAAAAATAAAAAAATTCTCTAATTCGAAGTCGAACCTTTTCTTTGCAAAATGGTACTTCGAGTACCATATATATATTCGACTGTATATTTTTTTTACATAAAATGTTAGGATTACTTACCGATCGTATTTATATGAATAACTCCTGAGCTGATGTATTGTATGTTGATAACTAAAATGCTACGATTAAATCGAGTCACTATGTCTAGCTTCAAAGACAACATTTTATGGTTCACTATCTCCATTAGTGCTTCTTTCAGCGCTTCACTATATGTTTCCACATGTTCAATTAAATTTTTTGAGTTCATTTTTATATCAAAACACTTTTCAAACGGTTGGATTAGAGGACGAAAATATTGTTCGTCATCAAATAATCGAAGGGGTATATTTTTAAATGCCACTAATCCAACGCAACATTTCAAGAATTGTTCTTTATTTAAATTAATTTTCAAAATCGATTGCTTGGCTTTTGCATTTGAATTTTTCAAGTTTTCATTCATAAAGTTTATTTTATGCATATTTTTTAAATGTCTTTTAATATAAAATTTATTATACCCTACAAAACTCTTTTTACATAATTCACAAACAGAATTATTTAATTCGCTGTTAAATTTCACGTACTTCTCCATTGTTCGACAGTTTTTTGAAATATGAAAAATTAAAATAACCACTAAAGAATATTGCCTTTGTCCTTTAAGTTGTAAGTGATTAACACGACTGAGGCTTGTTTTGTTAATTTTTTTACTTTGCAGTATGACTTGAGAGTTTCTTTACCTAATATATTATTAGTATTAATTCATATATCTGTTACTATGGACAGTAATTGCTTTCTATTTAAAAATTTTGTGTTCTACCAAAAGAGTTAAAAATTTCAATTCCTTTTCATGTTTTTTAAGTTCACATCAGCAAATCTATACATCCTGCTACCTGTTCAAGAAAGCATTTCCCTAATCTGTTATGTAATAAATGTTAGATACTCTACCTATGAAAAATATGTATTTTGTGGGCCACCCTTATCTTTTTTAAACTGTTGAAAAACTTATCAAACAAATACAGCAATACCAATACCAGCTACCTGTTCAAGAAAATATTTTCGTAATCTTTCGTGTTTTTTAATAAAAGTTAGATACTCTACCTAAGTGGATACATATATTTTTGGGACGAAAAATATCTAATTTATGGCCCATGCATATTATCTTTTTTAAACTGGTGTAAAACTCATCAAACAAATACTTTATAGTATAAGTATAAAGTTTATACTAAGTTCAGACAGCCGATTTCGTAAAAATGAAATTAACTTGATTTCGAAAGTATTCATACTGCGCCAAATTAAGGAAATCATATTATGTTTATATATTATAAACATTATTTGTGTCTGGGAAATTTTAAAAGTTGATTATTTTAACTATAAAGGATGGCATTCATTAGTTTTATTAGCTTTATACTATGTTCGGACACACTATAATTGCACAAAAATTCTAATTTCATATTCGTTTCAGTGAAATTAAGTTGTTTTTTCCATACAAAATTTAGTTTTAAGGTTAGAACGAAATTAAGGAAAATGGCCTTAATTTCGATAAAACGAATGTTGAAATTAAGGGACATTTCAAATGCAACTATGCGTGAGATAAATTTTAAGCAAAAACGTTGAGATAACGAAAAATGGGCATTTTTTTAAATAAATGTCAGTGAAAATAAAGTATTTCACGTTTTATAATTAATAAGTTTAAAGAAAATCAATGCAACATTAACAGTATAAATTCTTGAATATTTCTTATTGTAGATAAATGAACTTCTGAATAAATTTTTTTAATTTGACTATAAGAATATAGATATTATGTATAAGCATCTCTAAATAGTAATAATGATAAATAAAAGTAAAGTAGGAAGAGTAGCTATTTTTCTAGAACTCAATAAAAATAATCATAAAGTTAATTATGGTATAAAATTTAATGATTCTTTATTGATTAATAAACTTCGACAAGCAACAGAAGAACCAACAATTAATAATTTTAAATCAACTTAACGTAAACAATTTAATCTAACTAAAATCCCTTCAGTTAATAATAAATAATAATAATAAAATCCAAAAATTAAATAAAATTCTAATAAATAAATATAATTAAATTTTAAACAAACAAATAAAAGAAAATTAAAAAAGTTAAAATTATTGAAAAATGCAAATAAAATAAAAAATTGCTAATAACATAGGTAAAGATACTAAAAAATAATAATTAAATTGAAGTTTTTAAATGTTCTCATTGAAATTCTCATCCTAAGAATAACAGCAAAATTGGAATGAATCTTCCTTCAAAAAATAAATATAGAACATATTCATTCTGGAATATGTTAAAATGGAAGATGTTGATGTAGGTGTACATACTTAAAATCTTAACGAAATTAATCCATAAGAATATATATCACACTCTAAAAAATTGAAAATTGCTATAAAATAATTTCCATAAATTTTGAATAAAATTATATATATTAAAAAATATATATATTTTGAACTATTAAAAATATATTATTAAAAAATTAAAAAGCGATTAAAAAAAGCCAACTAAAAAAACAAATTTTAACATTGTAAAATTTAAAATAATTGAAAATAATCATTTCTATGAGTTCGAATTATTAAAACTAAAATAAAAAAACTTAATGCCTCCTCACAAACTTTAAAAGTTAAATATATTATTATAAAATAATTTATGTTATCTATAAATTATTATTAATTCTAAACTAAGTATAATGGTTTCGATGAGAAATAAAAGAAAACACTTCAATTGATACTATTATACAATAAATTAATAAATGATAAATAAATTAATTAAGAAAAAATAAATTATCATTATTTGTTTTAATAATTTAACAAATTTAAAACATTATATATTAAAAAGATTTAATTCTCAAAAAATTATATAACAAAAAATATAATATATGAAAAAAATATAATATTAAAAAAATAAAATAATAAAAAAAATAAAATATTAAAAAAAAATATATTAAAAAAGTATTGTAAAATATAAAAAAATATATTAAAAAATAATATAAAATTGAAAAAATAAAATATATAAAAATAACAAAAATATTAATAAAATTAAATACTAAACTTATAAATAAAATATATTATATATAAATGTATAAAATAAATAATAATTAAAATCAAAAATGTTCAAAAATTCATATTACTATATTTTATTTTTAATTTTGACTCGTAATTACATTGTGTTTTGTTTTTTTAAACAATATAGACAAAATTTTTGTACGTATATAGTATATAGTCTATAATTAGTGAAAAGATTAAAATAATATATTTAAAAAAAAAATTGTCTTCGTTTCTTAAAAATACATTTGTCTTATTTCAATTCTTTGAAAAAAAAAATAATTAGAATAAATTTTAATTATGCATTTAATAAATTTTAAAATTAATTTGCTTGAAGTTTAAAAAAATTGAGATATATTCACTTCTTAAAAAAAATTTTTCTTATTTAAATTCTTTGAATGATTAAAAAAAATGATTAAGATAAATTTTAATTATGTGTTTAATGCATTTTGAAGTTAATTTGCTTCTCGCGGTCAAGATGTAACTGGGATAGTAGATGCAAACGCAATTGATTTATATTCTCCAATAACTGATTACATAGTCGACATGTGATTGGATTTATGTAACCACCGCTGTAAATATATTAAAGAAATTAACTTACAGTACTTTTTCCCACATCTTATTACTTACAAGTTGCTTTGCTCATACAATTCTTTACAATGAAGACCCAAAGCATGCATTGATTCAAATTTCTCCGTACATAAATTCAGTATACTATGCATTGGGAAAATTGTGCGATGACCATAGACATCATTAACAGATAATAAATCTGCATCGTCAAATTTTTGCCACTCATTGTCACTAAAATTTTTCTGTGTTTCTATATAATCTCGATTCTTATTTAGAAGCCTGTAAAATAATTTATAAAACAAAAATTTATGCATTTTAAGCAATTAAAAACAAATTACCTTATCAAAAGACTTTTAATTTTGGCTGACAGATCTTCTCGTTGTTTTATTGGCACACTTAATTTCGAATCATCAGGATCTGTGTAAATGATCGAGTCCATACAGTAACGTATTTGATTTATCTAATAAAATGTAAAATATTCAAATCGTTGAAATTAAACAATTTTATTATATAATAATAAATATAAATATGATAATTTTATCAATAAACAATGAAAACAGCTTTTGTACCAGTTCTATATCAGCAGGTAATAAGTCCACATCTAAATTTAATACGATATCGTGTTCTTCATATAATGGTTCCTGAGTTTCTTCGTCGAACCCTAACCCAGCTAATATAGATACAAATTTTGTGCGTTGTTTATTGCACTTAATTTGAACACGCGGACAAAAAAGCAGAGTCATTAAGGCTGAAAATCCATGTATATTTGGCATTATTGTTGTACATCGTGCTGTAAGTGAATCTCCATTTTGATTTTCACTGACAGACGCAGCAACTACTAGACGTTCATGTAAATCGTAAGGGTCGGTATCAAGTAATATATTATTAATTGAGTCTCGTTCAATTAATACATTTTTCCAAGCACCAGCGCGTGTTGCACTAAAAACTTTCACTTCCAGTGGACTAAATGGACCTTTTAATGTAACTGTTTTGGTGCATATATCTGCTGGTGGAGGATCAACCTCTACATCAAGATCTAATTGTATTGAATTTAGATAATCTAAATTTTCCTTTGCGATATCGTCCTCACTTAAACATCTAGAAACAGCTTGCTTACGACGGCGAGTATCATGATCCATCTGAAATATTTTTTAAACAATTTTAAGTAAAGTTTCATCAAATGCAATTCAAAAATATACCTTTGACGCATAACTTTCCTCTGATTTTCGTGCTAATTCTTTGTGGACTAAAATCTCATGTAATCCACCATTATCACTATGTATCTCGACGTTTGCCAGTTTATCTACAAGTGAAAAAATCTTTATGCTAACTATACCGGAATTGGAAATTTCTTTTAGGATATCATTAGCTCCATCTGCCCAGCTGTTGTTATTATTATGTAATTCACTTGGTTGAATATGTGCTAAACGGCACTCGAATACTCGCGGGGGTATATTTAGAACTGACATATAACGATGTGGGTATGGACGTAAAGTTTCAAACTCCACCACTTTTTCAACACCATAATCAATAAACAATACCTTAAAATTTACGTTACGTTACGTTACATAATGATGACTAAACACAATTCTAAAATAACTCACTTTAAATTGAACATGTCGTCGGGTCGAACATATAGCACTTAGCACTTTAGCACGTTGGTTTTCACCATCAAAAGGTGCAGATAAATGCATACCAATTGAAATATTAGACGGATATTCATAACGACGAATTGTTTTACTCTCATCACTATCGTTTAATATAAGTCTAATTTCACGTAAACGTTCCATTTCAGATAATGGTTGAAAAAAAAATTTAGTACAGCTTTCAACCTAAAATTTTTTTTATAAAATGTTATAGATATAATGTTTAAATAATATTAATATTCTAATATAATTACTCACGTGTGTTATATAACCTCTTACGTTTTCTACAAAAAGAGTTGGTAAAACCATTAAATCAGGATTTAATATATTTGATTTGTTTGACACCCATTGACCACAGTTCATTACACCGAGATTTCGCTCTTCAGCATATTTGCCTTCATACTTAGATTCAAGTACTGGGATCGTACACTGTAACTTCATGCTGCGTAATAATAATGCTTTGAAAATTTCCGGGCGTATAATACCGGGAACTGTGAGACGATTTCCGTCTTTTTCATCTTCGTCGTTATCAACAAATGTCGCAAAAACTCGCTGAGATCCAGGTTGAAAACGTATTTGAATATTTTTTGGTGAAATAAGTACACCCTTAAAAAGTGATTTAATCGAACGAATATATAGTTGTCCAATACGAAATGAATCGAACTTTGTGAAATATACAGTACTGAGTGCGTCATTTCCATTCAAAATGTGGTTTATACCACGATCATGGTCAATATCATTTACTTTAGAGTGTATAAAATAATTTGGATAAAACGCACCAGCAATCACAACTTTTAATATAATATTTTTTTCTCGATCAAACCAAAAAACACGTTGGTATGAGCTTTGCTCTTTTATGCCTACAGCTTCTAAACGTTCTTTTATTTCTTGGACTAATAAATACATTTCCTTCAGTGAACGCAAGTCTATATAAAAGCGTCTTGCCCAGATAGATTCACTTTCTTCCATTACTGAATGTTGCTCACGATTTCCTAGCCAACACTGTAACAATAAAAATGTTTGAGAGTTCATAAATAAATATCGTAATTCGCCCGTGCGACTCGTAGAGTAACATAAGCATGCCTTTCTCTGTATTACGTTCCTAGATTAGGTCCTACACATAAGAAAGAATATATAAATCATGCAACAAATAATGCCTCTACAAACAGAATAGAATTGAAATTTAACAATTAAAAATATAAATATAACTAAATAATTCAATTATTCTACAGCTGGTTTATGACTTCGTTCTAATATAAACACAGCAAGTGAATTTGTTAATAAAACTTTCACAGTAAATTAACAAAACTCCAGAAAAATGTGCGTACATAAAAGACAAGTACCGCATTGGGTCAGTTGGTTAAGGAACACTGACTCTGAGCTATAAATTTGACAGGGCACGAGAATTACTTGCAAGACTATTGATGATAGGTATTTGGCAATACTCGAAACAGCTGTATGGTCAGCCAAAAATTCAATTAATTAAAATAATATAAAAATAAATTTTTTTTTCTTGTAGTTCACTACTGTTCGAAAACCAACACTCGCTGTATAATTATAAATTCATATTTCTAATCCAGTTTGGACATTAAATATAGATGATATATAGTTTTGGCATACACTACATAATTTAAGAACTCCGACTTACATGAACAATTAAGGATGTTCATCTTAAATGATCGAGTTTTCTATAGGGAAGATTTCCATTCAGTAAGTTTTAGTTTAACGACACAGTTCTAACAAAGTTATTTGTGAAATCTACTACGAACATCGGAAGGAATTTTCTGTGTAATAGTCAGAAAATATAGTTCTCATGAGTGCACCTTTAAAAGGGTCTGGTTTCTCTCTAGTATCTCTAATTATATTGAAGTAACTTGTAATATCAATTAGATTGAAATGTTGTATGATGATTATAGCTTTTAAATGAATAATGAACTATGTTAACTTGACTGTAAGATTCAGTAAATTAACGATATGTTAGCTAGTATCTGTCATAAAAATTAAAGACAATGTTCCAGCAGAAAATGTTCATAAATCAGCAGTTTAAGAAATTGGGTTAGGACTTTATGTAGAATACTTTTGTTTATTTAATCATTATTATTTGATATTATTTGGTCAACCAATAATATTTGAAGGTCACAATGCAGTAATTCTTGCGGGACTGGAAAACACTGAGAGCAGTTTTCTATATTCTACTTCAGCAAAAAAAAATTTCATCAGAAGAGTATCAGTTTTATCAATAGCAATCGTCACTATTTCTCTCTTTTTCTCACGTATAGATAAGAAAGGAAGAGCTTAGTTTCCGTGCTTGATTGAACTGTTATTAAACTAGTAAAAAATTTGTATTTTATATTGAGAAGAGCAGTAACATCACATTTTTTACAGTAAGGGTTTATTTACACAGTTATGTAGATTTTAAAAATTTTTTATACCTTATAAGCTCTACAAATAGCGATCAAATCAGAACCAGTACCATCTGCCCAAAGAAGTTTGCGTATATGAGATTCAGCCTCTTTTTCTTTTTGTCTAATAGGATATTTAAAAATGGACCGAACACTTAATGCAGCAGCTTTAAAGAAGATTAAAATAAATCATGAATTCTCCACATCATTAGCAAAAATTTATTTTAGTTACCCATAATAATAGTATCCTCTAGTACGCTGAACATGTAACCTAATACAACTAAACGTGAAAGATGCACATCTATAGGCAAAGCAGCCATTATTCGACCAATAAATGTCAAATCACCATCTTGTACTTTATACTGTCCATTTACATGCGTGTATAGAGCACCTATTTCTTTTAAGGTTAAAATTGTGTTTGTCACATCTAAAAGATTGGGTGGATCCATTGCCAGACTTAAAACATCTGTTGGTGGTCCTAATTCTAATAATTTAGCTTTTAGAATAACTGTTTCCAGAGGACAACGTAGCATTTCAGGTTCACTGTACTCATATAGGTAATTCTGTAAAAAATGTACATATTAGTACTAAGTATACTAAAGTGAATTTCAATTGACACACATACAGTATAAAAATATTTTGACACCATACGGTATACACGTCCAGAAGATAAACGGCCTGCGCGACCAGCTCTTTGTTTACAGTTCGCTTTGGATGCCCATTGCATTTTCAGTGAACTAAAATTTGTAGAGGTGTCTACTACCATGTGCTTCGTCAAACAAAAATCAATAACTGTAAGAAAAAAAATATATTTATATTTTCATAAAATATGAATGAGTATAGATATTCTTTGTTAAAATAAAATTGATCGGTTTAGATTTTGTAAATACGTTAAATTAATTAATAAATGAATAAATTAATTAAGCTACATACAATTATATCAACAAAAATTCAATTTTTTGTAATCCTTATCGAAAACGTTTATGAAAACGGTTTTGGAGAAAATTATTTCATGTGACTGAATCTAAATACCGAAACAACACTTCACCAGCCATGAAGTTTCGTTACCATCACTTCTGTCGAATTTCCACTTTTCGCAAATATGAAAAATCAATCCAGAGTATAATAATCATAAAGATAAATAATTCAAAAGAATTGACATATCTTATTGAAAAATATTGTAAACAAAGTAAAAAAAATAAAACTCTAGTTAAAACTCTAGAAGCATGCTCACACTCTCTACACGAAACAGAAAACACGGATTTTTATAAATAGCGTTTATCTTTTTATATTAAACATGCTTGAAATAAATAATGCTGAATTTGGAAAATTTTGAAAAATATTATAGTGGGTCCAACATTGTAGGAACATTAAAACTGGGCTACGTAACACACAGAATGTTAGTAATCAACAATATTTCTTTTTCTTTGTATGATGAGAAGCTTATCGCTGCAGAATAGCGTGTTCTGTTACTTTGCTTTTTATATGATTAACAATTTTGCTTAATACTCCATTAACAACCAAGCAGCAGCAGTCATGGAGTAACTGCACCTGAAAGGAGCATTTATGACAATTCAGTATTCAACACGTATTCCTCCATTTCTCAGGAAGAAAACGGTAACATGGGATAACACTTGTTTTACTGTGTCAAAAATTCATTTATACTTCTTTCCAAACCAATCTTAAACCATTCAAATTATATTCAGAAATATTTATTATTCATATTCACATCATCATTTCATACTATTTACTATCTACTTATTGTACTTTATGTATATCTTTCTATACTTATATTGCTCTTATAGATTATTCATGTTTTTTTATTTGCTAGGTTAACTGAGGACTGATAGGAATATGAACAGACTTACAACAACAAAAACAATAAATTTCACAGTTTTAGGGTAATTAATCTATCTTTTTTTAATTTATGTAACCCAACTAGATTTCAAAAAATGTTACTTAGTTATTCTATCACAACATATATGCTACTATTTTCCTCAATATGAATATCTTCTTCCCTTTTGCACTTCCAGCAGATCCAGAACTTGCAAATTGAAGATCATATTGATCACAACATCAAATGCTGATACATACATAAACCGGTTATAAAGATTCCCTGGTTTTAACAGAAAGTAACCCACTAATCACTAAACAAAAACCGAATCCCATATAACACCTGACTTCTACTACTAAATA